GAATTCATAAAATGTTTTATTTGAAATTATATTATATTAACACAAAAGAAGAAGAATATAATAGAATCTATGGTATGTTTTTATACATAGCTTCTTGAATTAAAACATATTTTTGGAATATCAAAATATTATTATTCATTTCAGAAATATTTAAAATATATACACAATATATAATTTTGCTATATAAATATTTTTGAAAAGGGAGACTTCAAAGGTGCGCCAAGAAGGCTATGACCCCCCTCTGTAAAACTGCCATTGCGTGCACAAAGGGTTAATTGTACAATAAAATGTTATACTCTTGAATTTCACGCGACGAATCCGGGCCAAGTTCGCAAGAATAAGCTCAAGACTTTGGGGCGAATATTCACGCGGGGACTGGCGGGGACGGACGCGCACGGAAAGGGAGAGGATCGCGTCGCGAGGGGAGGCTGGGGGAGAAAAGGAGAAAGACAAGAGGGGATTTTAGCCCGGGGCGTACCGTTTGGCTTTTCGGGTGCGGGACGGAACAACCGTCGTCGGTGCGTCCGTCGTCCGCCATGGTGGAACGTCGCTGGGTCACGCGCGACGCATAGAGATGCGTCGCGGTAGCAGCGGCGAACGAACGATCGATTTTACGGCGGCTTCCATGCTCTTCTCTCATCTCGACGACTTGTGCACGTGTTCGACGGTAGCCCTGTGCACACCGCGCCAAATCGCGACCACAAACGTGGATTCTGTTATTCTCAATGCATTTTCGCACCGATCCGGGCACTGCACCTCGATGAGATGAAAGAGAGAGAGAGAGAGAGAGAGAACACCTCCACTCTCTATGCTACTGCAGGATTATCGCAAGTTTCTCATTCCAAAATTTCATAACTTTTCCCTTTTTTACAGACAAAATTTCCCTGATTTTTTCTGATACTTTTGATGATATTTTGAAATTTTTTGTATTTTTCGTTCTGATTTGAAAATCGTCAAATATTTTGTTGAGACAGGAATTTAACATAGCAGTGTTAATTAATCGATGTTGCTGACATTGCATTTAATTGTTGGTAGTGTTCTGTGTAGGTGTGATGTATGCATATTGAACTTGTTTAAAATCAAGAATTTTCATTTTTCACAAAATTTTACAAAATTCCTTGACTGTTCCCTGATTTCCTTTTGATCGTTTTTAATTTCTCTTAATTTCCCTCGATTTCCCTGATTTCCAGGTATGGAATCCTATTCTAACAACTGCATTGTGTTCGGTATAGTGTGGGCATCTATTTTTAATTTTGATTTTAATCTCCTAAAGACGATTAGTCATATTTTGGAAATAGCACTTCACACAAACGATTACGTGTCATTGACACATCACTACATCAATATCTCATTTACGCACGCCACACATATACATATGGTAAATTTTTGAATCGCAATTACGTTTTAATTATCTAAATCCAATTTTAAGAACTCCACGCTTCATGCAAACTACTTGTCTGTGGACTACTACTTTATAAGTAGTAGTCCACATTAAATGTCATGTGCAACGACGTAACAGCTCTGTACCGATTGTATTTCTTAAAAAAGAGAAAATTAAAAATTTATATTTAATAATATATAACTTTACAGTTTAAATAAAAAATTTCTCATTTTATACTTTAATTATTTTTTAAAAACATATTTACTTCTTATTGAAATAATTTTTCATTCAGATTCTAAATCACTATTTACACACAATAAACTTTGATACTTTCAAATACATACAGACAACTGTAATTTTTTCCTTAAAAAAAATGTGTAATACATCCTTAATGCAGAGTAAATTATTTCTTTAAGCAAAACGCAATGTGTAACGTATAATTTGAGAAGACATTAAAAACTTCTTTTTTTAACAATTTTGAAAAAATGTAAAAGTATAAGAAAATTTCAGAGATAAGAATAATATTTGCCATTTACGCGTATTACGTTAATTTTACATATAGTTATTTACGCGTATCCTAGAATAAAAATTTATACTAAAAAGCCTTCGGTTTTAATATTTCGATCGTGGAATTACAACATCCTTATTAATTAATATTTCTTATATTAAGCCGACAACACACAACACGATTTTTCATGCTAGATCGCACACGTATAGATAATAAATTACCAGAATTGCGCCACACGACACGCAGAGTTTCTAATAATTCACTATTATAAATCAAATGCGATCTAAGACAAAAATCGCATCGTATAGACTTCGTTCGGAATCGAAAAAAATCCATTGCCATATGTCACCTTCCCCATTCTCTTATTGAGGAGGACGCGCAGATTTCGAAATCCCTCGTCCCGAGTCGCGTGATCATATATACGGCGGAAAGGGTGGCGTGGGGTGACGAATGTGCGAATGTATGTATACGACACGAGAAACGGTGTCCGATATCCGCGCGATCTTCCGGGTAAATCGCGGGCTATTTTTGGCACGTTGGCAATTAAACGTAGTTAAGTGAAGCCGACCCAATTTACACATTCGCACACGTTATTATTCGCGCAGAATGTCAGGCATGCGGCAAGCGAAAAAAAAAGAAGAAAACAATTGGACAACGCGGATGTTGTGTGTCGAAAAAAACAAGCCACATCCCGTCATAAAATGTAAAAAATCATAATAACGCGTGAAAAAGATTAAAAGGTCTTTGAGATATTTTATGAATTGTACAGCATTTATAACGAACTATACATATACAATTTGTTATAAATATAAATACTATAATATGTAAATATTAAAATCTCACAGAGAATTTTGAAATCATTTTTACATGTTATTATTTTTATGTTCATAATAAATTGTATATAGTATATATTATACACAATTTGTTATAAATGTAAATATGTAGATTTTAAAATATTGTAACCTATATAATTTGTACTTATTGTATATATTATAATAAATGTGTGTAATATGAATCACTAATTATGTATATACAATAATTATGTTATAAATTCTAAACTATTGTTACATAGTTATTTATATGATATTGTGATACAAAAGAGAAAAAAGACATAGTAGTGACAAATATGTATAATTTTTCTATTTAATTCTCGTAATCATTCAGTTTTATTTTTAACACAATTCTTCATATGAAACTTGAATAGTTGCTACCACCACCATAAAAAGTGTTTCTTTCTTTTCAGAATGTATAATAAATAAATCCAAAAGACATATTACGCTGCAATAAAGAATTAAATAGCGGTGCAAAGATAAAAAATTTGTCATAATATTTTTCTCATTACTTTTGTATTTATATTGCATTTCTAACGATGCGCAATAATTTGATTTACCATTATTGTGACATTTTCATTTACTCCGATTTAGCGCCAGTGGATTTTCGGTTTCAGTTACCTTCGGTCAAATCTGCTCCGCCGGGAGTCGCCGAGGAGGGACATCGATTATAAACAATCATGTAATATGCATGTATAGAGTGAGAGGAGGGAGGATGCCCTGTTTCCATAATGTAGTCTCTCTGTCTCTCGCGAATTCCGAGTCGCGGATATTTCATGCGCGATAAGATCGCAGGTTTGGACGAACAGACGGAATTCGTAAGCGAATTTCGCCGCCGGAGTTTGTTTACACATAGCGCTCTCGCTGTGCCGCCCCCGCCGTTATGGCTGGAGTTACGTATATACGCCGCTCCTGAAATTCTATTTCGGTTCTACGAGAGACGTGCATATTTGGCCTATTATCGTCCTCCGCGACCCGCACCCCCCACACGCTGCACCAATCAGGCTGCGGCGGCGGCGCCGCCATGACCGCACTGCTCTTCGGCACGTAGGCACGTCGCCGAGTCGGTCGCGCGACACGAGAGACATCTGTCAGCCGACCCGCCGTCGCAATCATGAAAAATAATTATCGACCGTAAGTAACGTGACAAATGCTGATGTTAAAGTCTGCATTATCGACCTCGATTCTTATATTATTTTTTTTATTGTTTTATACATATATGGGATCTATTTGTTGATTCTGCTATAGTTATAAGAATTATAAACAGATGAGAGTTAATCTACACCCCTAGAACCGGGCATCAGTGAACCGAGATGCTTGCGACTTTACCGACCTTCGAACCCACACCTTATCGGCGCCCGGAAGGGCAGAATGTCGTTTATCGGTGAGTGCCAGTATCACGTATGCGATTATCGCACTGCGATACAAAATTAAAAAATAAACAGAGGATGTACAGAGAGGAGAGAGGCTGCACGCGGCCGCGGGAACGATGAACTCTGCGTGTGTGTACGTCGTACAAGGGCCGACGCCCCCTTCTCAAGGCGAACAACTCTTGCGAGAGAGATTGCGGAATTTTTTCCGTCGGCCATGTTTGCCGTTCGTCGGTCGGGCCCTTCGCCCTTACGTAGCTCGCCTAGCCGATTGACTTAACTACAAGGCTTTGCTCTACGTTTAGAATTACGCGACAGAAATAAAATCGAACATTTGCAGCTTATTTGGATGTTCGTTTTATCTATCACTTTCCATTTTTTTAAATAAAACGAAAACATAGTATCCTACTTAACAATTTTAATAAAAAAATATCAATAAATATAAAGTTTTTGCCAGTAAATCTATTTAAAATATATTTAAGAAATTAAAAGAATATTTTGCAAAATTTAAGAATAAACAGTCAAGAGATCATATTTTAATACATTTTAATGTGATTTGATTAATATTCTGCTTCAGCTTTAGAATTTAATAATTTTAATATCTTGTAATATATTTTAATTAAAAAATATCAAATCTATTTGATGGAATGGATGCCAGTTTAATACAATTGGTTTTATTTATAAATATTAATTTATTAAAATTTGCTATAATTTATTATTTATGAAAAAAAAATTCTTTATTTCAATTAATTCACAATTTTATTTTACCTTATTTCATACCTTACCTTAATTCATATCACTAAAATTAGGATCACGAGATACACTCACTCATTGAATATTGCATGACTTATAACAGAATTCACCGTTCCATCCGCAGAGCTCATATAAAAAAAAAAATTATTTACACTCACCATTGGAAGGCATTGAAGTGGAAGTAAACGAGACCCAGCCCATATAGAAATGAAGCATCCTTCCAGTAATCGCCTTTTAAAGAGTAGAATTTCTGATATGCTGACATTGCTACAAAAAGGAAAAAGAAGATAGTCAACAGAACAAGTTTACTCCGTTAATACAAATAAAACAAAAATTGTTTTACTCAAGATAAAGTTTTAAAGTGACAAGAAATCTACGATAAATCGATGGAATTTGAAACCCTAGAAAATCCTCTTTTGTTTTGACAGGTTTCCCAACTGTTGATACAATATATCTTGAGTTTAAAATTATTCATTTGAATTCTTCTATGTCTCATTATTTGATTTATAGAAGTGTTTATTTAGAACAAAAAAATGCCATTTGCTTGACAGAATATTTTCAATTATAAAATAGAATTGAGTTTAATGACTAATAAATAATTAGCCTGAATTTTTTTCAATAGACATAAAATTATAGCAAAAACAATGTAGAAAGAAAGCTATATCTTTGCTATAATTTTCCTCAATATCTATTTGATTTAATAGAACAAATATTTATTCTGGATAAAAAACAATTAAAGAAAATAGTTTTGTTTGCTTGACAAAATGATTTCAATTATAAAATAGAATTTAAATCAAATGACTGATTTGCAAATCAGTCTGAATTTTGAAGAGGCATTAAGGTAAAAAAATACTACAAAAAAGAAGTTATAAATTCCCTCAATATCTCACTATTTAATTTATAGAACAAGTATTTATTTTTATTAAGGAAGATAGTTTCGTTTTTTTTACAAAAAATATTTTCAATTATAAAATAGAATTTAATTCAAACAAAATTGACAAATATTGATCTGAATTTTAAACAAATGTGAAACATTCCTGATATAGTTTTATAATAAGATTTACTATAAAAAGTACCTTTGCTATAATCATACCTTTGCTATAATCTTCTAAGAGTAGGTGGAAATGTCCCAGCTTGCAGTATGTCTTGGGATCGATGCTTATTCCCTTATCCTCATCCTCATTCTCCTTTGAGTCGTCTGAGCACGCTTTTGTACTATCGGCTTTCCTGCGCTGTTTCTCCGCCTGGGCCTGAACCAGCATACGTTCCAGATACTTGATGGCACGCACCATCAGGGCCTTCCTCTTCGCCTGCTCCGGGGAGTTCAGTTTGAGGAAGCCGAACTGCCGGCTATGTGTGCATACAAGAGAGAAAGTGCCTTCAGTTTCATGACGTATTATCGCATTTACGCGCGCATTCCGTCCGGTCGAAAGACTCGCGCAGAATGCTCGTGTTTACGCGTGGATCGTCGTAACGATTGCCGCTCGTTATTATCGGCAATCGTGCCGGCGATTTAATAATCGAGACGCTACGTCGCGTCGCCCATTCGGCTCCGCGCGCGCATTGTTATCGCGGTAAGATTTCGCGACAGTCCGCGCGGAATGTGGTACAGACGGAAACGCGAAAACGGTGTCAGTAGGTTGCGCACAAGCGCGCTGTCAAACGCACTTTTATAGGTTATACACCCGTGACGTGATACTCGTCACCTAGACGGAACGGAAGCAGCGACATTAAATCCAGCCGAGGGGGACGCGAGGTTATTGGAACCGGGTATAGAGTTAATCACCTGTCCAGCTCCGACAGCGTCTGCAACTCCTGCGGCGTGAGGTTGATATCGTCGGTGTCCTGTGCCATTTTCTGCACACTTCGTCCACGGTCCCGGCAAAGAAGCGCGTCACACATCCGCGGCCCGCGCGAGACGGATACCACGCACGCACGACGACGACTCCGAAACCTACGTCGGCGAGGAAGTCGCGCGCGCGCGCGCGATCGTACGCGAGTCAATCTCACGGCGCCGTCACCGCATCGCGAAGAGTTTATCAGCGAGATAGCAGTGGCGGCGGCGGCGGCAGCAGCAACCAGCGCCGACAACAGCGACAACGGCGATGACACGAACTGACGCGACACTCGCGAACGCGGAGCGACACGAGACGCAAATTGCACCGGCCGACGAATGCCGACCGTACGACACCCGAGTTCGGCCGAGTGAAGGCAACCATTTTTAACGGTCTGTTCTTTTTAGTTCCTTTGCAGCTAAACAGAACAGACCTTTGACTTAAGGTACTTTTTCATGCGCAGCACGCTGCAGCAGAAATTCGTTACTATTGGTTAAGAATTTTATGTAAGCTAGATGACGTACTTCCGGCGCAAATACATTTTGCCGCAGTTCGTTGAAGTTGAACCGAACGAACAGCAAGCAGCAAGTGGCAAAATCGAGAAAGCGTACAATATGTCCGTCGTTTCATTATAAAAATATTATTTATTGCAATAAATATTAGGAAAATAAACGAAAAATGGCTTCGGATAAGGTACGGATACATGTTTGTAAATTAGATCATTTTATACTTTACCACAAATTTGAAAAAGTAAAGTGTAAAGTATAAAATGATCTAATTTACAAACATTCGTACCTTATCCGAAGCCATTCTTCGTTAATTTTCCTAATATTTATTGCAATAAATAATATTACCTCGATTTTGCCGCTTGCTGCTTGCTGTTCGTTCGGTTCAACTTCAACGAACTGCGGCAAAATGTATTTTGCGCCGGAAGTGCGTCATCTAGCTTACATAAAATTCTTAACCAATAGTAACGAATTGCTGCTGCAGCGTGCTGCGCATAAAAAGCACCTTTAAAGTCGGGTCGAGTCGATTCAAATACGCTATATATATGTATGTACGTATTGAGTGCGGTAGATTTGAATGCTTTGCATGCGATAAAAATGAGAAAATTAATTCACGGTTATTCGATAAATGTTAACTATTTCTTTAAATAACATTTAATTGTTAGGAAATGACGATGAATATTCTAAACATTGAAAAATAGAGATTTCACGCAAAAATTGCGACAAACTTAATCGCGATATTTAAAGTGTGAAAGTGACTATAAGATACAATAAATATCAGATACTAAAATCTGAATACAAAAAGACCATAAAAAGTAAATGATATAAATATAAATATTGTAAAGAAAACAATACGTTTCAGGTTGGAGTAAGAGAAAAGAAAGAGACACGAGAGGAGCAAAGTGCAGAAGGTGCAACTAAGACGAACAAACTCGGTTCTCGGGAGCCGTCTGGCTCCCTCCAAATTATCGTGCCGTATTTACGTCAATTTACGTTCGATCTGACGGGCTGTTTAACTGACGTCGTCGCAACCGTCACTGCTGTGAAAATTTATTGTCGAATAGGTAAATTTTACCTTATCGAAATGTTGTGTAGATCTAAGCAAAATGTTTCTGTCCGCGAGGCGGCTCGTCGTACACTCAAAAACACGCTCGATACTTGTACCGAACAGAAGTATCTTCCGCTTGGGAAATGAAAAAACTCTTCAAACGGTAGAGCCCTTTATCTTTTAGTTTTTCTCCGAAATTCGTTAAATGTTACAACCGAATGGGAATTTCCGATTGGGCTTTCTCGTTGATATTTCGCGACGTTACTTTTCCATCTTCCGATTTTCTGAGAACAATCGCCGTGACTTCCTTCCGAAACTTCGTCATCGATATAATTACGTTTTCATTTTCTTTGCTGCGTCACAAATCCGCACAATGACAAAGATAACATCGACTTCCAACTTCTGTCTTCTCGTATAATTCTTTTGTTACATGATTACTGAATAGTTGTTAACATTTAAATAGGTAGGTTTAAAAATTCTTTAAAACCTTTAGAGTGAAAATTTCACTCTTAAAGAGATTGAAAATTGAGTCACTCTTTTTCTCAAGACCAGCTCATTTTTAAATAAGATTTCACTTCAATGAATTTAGAGAAAAGATACACAATTCTGGACAGGGAGAACAGCTCCAAAAATTTTTATTTTATAGTTACACATTTTACTTTAATGCATTATGTTATAGTTAAATTTACATTAGTTGTGTCTCAACTGTAATGTATTCTTTGCTTCCCGTTTCATTTTTATCTATTACCTTTTTCTTTCGTTGCAACCGTTTTATCGACAATCATTTATTATCAGATATTTTCTAGTAAAGACATAGTATGCATCATAGCAAACGCAAATGGATTGAAATGGATTCAGATTTTCAGAAATATGGATTCATGAATGTTAAAATAAAATCTTTTCAATCCTGAATACATTTTTATTCATTTATAGGAATTGTACAGAGCATATCTGTATGCCTTTCAATCTAAAAATAATATCAGCTTTTTCAGTATATTGTGAATACTGTTTAGTTCAAAATTTTGAATAGGAAACGCAGTTTTTCAATCTAATCCAATTGTATCCAATTGAATCTGATTGAATCCAAAAAAGTTTTTGCTGTTTAAAATATGTATTTGAATAGATCAAATGTCCAATCCATTTTAATTCATTCTTGTTTGCTGGGCATTTTATCTTTGTTCAGTGTCTACAAACAAGAATATAATGATTCACTATATTATACTTGCTGGAAAACGCATGTTTCTTGTCACTTCTGAAGTTCATCAACTTTTATCTTTGGCAATAGAAAACGAAGAAGCAGGATAAGAGACAGAAAGGCAAAAGATAAAACATGGAAAAAACAAGAAGCAAACAGCATATTGTAGATTAGACTTTTCATATCTTGTGAGATAGATAAATGTAATAATGATAAATTTGAAGGGTACCTCTGAGCAATAAGTTTTGTTTTCCTTTCCTAGAACAAGATTTTAAAGAAAACTAAATCTGTAGTATTTAAAATGGCTATCTTGCCCACTTGATAGAACAACTGTTATTAGGAACAATTAAGAGACATGTTATTTTTGTAAATTTACTCCAATTTAAAGATAGAGTTGGTAGTTGAAATATCTTTTTGTATTTTAGTTAAGTATATGAAATTTCCTACATTGATATTTTTCTTTCACTCACACGTATGAGACTTTTTAAGCATAGAATTTATGTAATATGAGCTTTTTTAAAGCCATACTTGATCTTTTTTAAAATCATGCAGTAATCTTACATGAATTATTTAATCTTCTAAAGATACAAATTCTTCGTTGTATTTTTTCACATATTTTTTTTTCAGGACCAAGATGCCTATACCCAAGAAGAATAAAGAAGATGCGAACAAGGAAGCCTATAGTATAGATGCTTCACAGGAAGCCAAATCCTTCATAGAGAAAATCATGGGCGATGTGAGCAAATCTTCAGCGACCAAACAGATCATCATTGGTACCACATCAGGATGGTATGCATTTTATGCCTTGTCATAATCATTTAGTTCTCAAGTATCTGATTGTTTAACACTTATTAGGCATATCTTCCATGCTAATTGCATACCTTGTAACTTAGGGTAACTGGATTCGTCACCATGAAGATTGGGAAAGTGGCAGCCTGTGCAGTCGGCGGTGGAATTATCATGCTGCAAATAGCTGCGCATCAAGGTTACATAAAAATTAATTGGGACAAGATTATGAGTAAAGCCGAGAAAATAACAGATAAGGTGGAAGAAAAGATTACCGGCGAAGGACCAAATTTTATGGATAAGGTGAGACAAATGTCAGGTTGCTGCAAAAAGATTTTGTTGTTTCTTTAAATTCTAAGTTAAAGATTAAAAGTTTCCTATTTTTTAACTTCTTAGAAATAATGTATATTTAAAAAATATTATGATTATCTTCAACAAAGATAATTTCAAATCTTTACCTTTATTTTCAACTTTAACACAGTTAAATCGCTTGCATTTTATCATTCTTAATTTATAGGAAATATTTTTGCTTTTCTTTTTTATAATTTTGCAGTTTACGATTTTTTAAATATAATGTCCCTACTGTTTGCAGGTAGGGATACTGTGGAGGAAGAACTCATACATTGCCACGAGTTTTCTTGGCGGTTTCATTATCGGTCTATCTTGGTGAAGTAAAGAACAATAACTTTGAAGTTTTGTGCGAAAATGTGAACATTTAGTATGTTGTCATCATACATATTACTGTTGCGTTTACAGTATTCATATTGAATGATATTAATTCAATATTAAAATTTAATATGTCAATATTAATTAATAAGAATTAATATCAATAACTTTAATGTCAAATGAAATTTATATATCAATATCATTATAATTTTTGTATAGTCCCTAATAAAAATATATAATAAAATTAATTATGGTGTGTGTGCAGATTTTACCAACTCCGCTTTGATGTAACACCGAATCACTGATGAATGTTATCGTATTCTAGGCTGAGAGATTCGTCGACAAAAAGATAGATAAAGCCGAACGATTGCTGAAACAAGGGAAGACCTGTACGCGACGTTGGTACCACATATTGACCGGCGGTGACGATAGCTTCCAACCAACGGAATTCCATTTCTTTCTAGTCTCATACGTGGCGGGACTCGCGCTCGGCTTTGCCACCGCTAACTAGGTAATAAGTTGCTGCACTCTGAATGCAACAAAGAGGAAGATCAACATCCACATCATGTCAAAAGATAACTGCTCTATTGCTATTGACGCACATGATAATGTCGTCGACGAATATAACAATACAATCATGGACGAGGTAAGAAACAAGATCAACGTATTGAAGAAATGGGTCGCGCGAAGTAATACGCTTAATAATCCTAGATAAATAGCTTTATTTTTTAGTCTGTCACTGTTGTTAGCGATGAGTAAAACTTATTCATTCATTACAAAATTGCTTATGATATTTTTCTTTCTTTTAGATTCTAAAGTGAGAATAGATAACGAAACAATTTCAGTCAGTTTAAAAATGTATATTTTAAGATCAAAATACAGGTAGAATAAATTTTACTCATCGCTACTATCTCTAGAGTTAATACATCAAACAAATGAAAGTCCTTAATGTTTTTTAGACGTCTAGACGTCTAAGATTTAAAATAAATTTATTTATAGTATCGAGATTTATTGAAATTTTTATATCTCTTCAATATATTATTTTTTATTTTATCCTGTAAACTTGCGCATAGTTTGGAATACATCTCACGAAAAGAAATCTTAGAATCTTGATAATTTTACTGTCACCATTTGTATAGAACATATACAAATTAAAATATAATGTGTGCATATGAAATGATAGAGGTTCCTTGTTCATTCAGAATGCAGCAAGAAATTAGTCACTCTAGGATATAAATTGTTAGAATAATATTGTATACTACTTATATTATTATTGTAAAAGATTGTGATTCCAATTTTTCTTTCATTATTTACATTTAATCACTAATATATTTACATCGCATTGTTTGTACTTATACATATACATTATAGATCTTAATATGTATTATCTACAATAAAAATTATTTAATGACATTCAAATGCAAATTTAACAAATTTCAATTACTTATTAGCAATAATCTAGCAATAATAAAAACTTAAATTTCTGTAAGAAAATTATATAAATATAAATAATGTTACAAAGAAAATATTAATAAAATATAATAGAAGTAAATACATGCAATCGTATATAAAATATGGAAATGCAAAAAGTATTCAGAAAATAATGCAACGTAAACAAAACTTAAATTTAACTTATGTTACTAAATATATAGAAAAGCATTATTATTATTATTGCCAAAGATATGTTAAGGAATGTTTATAAAGTGTTTGAAAGTATTTAAAGATACTGCCCCTTATTTAACAGAATTAGATGATGGAAATCTTTTCTATTCTAATTTAATAATAGAAACAATTCTTAAGTTAATGTCATAGAATAAAAATAAATGTGTGTGATAAAACAAATAAATATACACACTTTCAAACAGCAAATTATATACAAATGTATATACACAATATAGCAATATAAAACATTATTTCACAGAATATCAGAATACTATAAATGTATATTGTACCTCAAAATCTTTTCAGACACTGCATTATTATACTTCTGAGACGTTTACGGATCTTTTGATCACCGTTACAGAAAATGTGCGTAGAGTTATCTCCGATCTGAATCAGAGTGTCCTCGTCTTGCTGCAAGTAGATATAATATAATTTTAATTCTCTTAATTGTATTGATTATATGTTTACATAATTATCAAGAAGATTATTTTCTATAATCTATATTGAAAAAGTCAATGAGATATCAAATCATACCAAATGAATACTCGTAGAGGTAGGACTGTGCTGTAATTTGGCTCCATGAAAACCTTCCTGATTCAGCTTTTGCAGCAATTCTTGTGGGTCTAGATTTCCATACTCATGCTTTCGTTCCTTTAGCACTTCTTCCATGATGGGCGCAGGCGAACCCAATGACATTTTCCTCTTTCCAGTCAGTTTATCCTCTACATTCTATAAACGTTACTTTTTTTAATTACATTTAATAATTTAGAAAAAACGAATCATGTATAAACAAATATATTACATTTTTTCTCCCAGTAAATCTTTTTCATTGAAAATATTTTCTACAAAAGAGCATGCTGTAATATTTATCTTGAGCATAAAATTCATATTTATCTATATATTAATAATTACTTTTATAGTATACACATTGTCCTTGACATCAAGTTCGCCGGTAACAGATGCGAGACTTAAACCAGGTCGTACTTCACTCGGTACAATATTGCTAGCTAATTCCGGCTCGATAAATACACGGCCCTTCTTCCGCTTTAATGGCAATTTTATCACCTCTCCGCGTTTAAAAGTAATCAAGGGTTTTTCCTTGAACAAAGTAATTATGCAAGTTATTTTATAGGATATTTTTTACATATTTTATAAATATATTAAAGATGGAAAACAAAACAAAAAATTGTAAACATAAATTATGTAAAAATGAGAAATTTATTTTATTAAATATCTACCCCAATGGATTCGATGACAAGATCCGTTCTATGTGGTGCCATTCCAGGGGGCTGTATATAAACCTCAGGAATTACTAAGTGCTCTGGTTTCAAATCCCGTATGAGTTTATTAGCCTGAGTAAAATTCAGAGAGGTATCGATGGGACAGTGCACTGCTTTCATAGATAATGGTTGAAAAGGAGCGAGGGCTTCTAAATATGGAAAATCAGGTTCTGTAAGAAAATTATATAAATATAAATAATGTTACAAAGAAAATATTAATAAAATATAATAGAAGTAAATACATGCAATCGTATATAAAATATGGAAATGCAAAAAGTATTCAGAAAATAATGCAACGTATCTTGTACCGACTATTGGAATATTACAATAGGAAACGATGTTTAAAATTATTTATATTTTGTGTCTTATACATATTTGTCTAATATTTAATATAATATTTATCTTAACGCGCGAAGCCAATGTTGATTGATTTATTTATCCTATTTCTAAAATAATTTTCACTCAATATATCGCAAACCCTAACTTATTGCATTATTTTCTGAATAGAATTATGTAGACTCTCTTACCAGTAAAAATTACAGTATGCAGAGGATTGCTACCCCATAACTGCACGAAATGCACGGCATCGCCAAATCGAAGGCTGGGATGGCCACAGAAGACGACACAAGGCTGTCTGTAATCACTGCTGAATCCTTCAGCATATGTAGATGTATAATGTTTCAATCGAGCATTCTTCACAAGGAAAGCATGTGGAAACGGTTCCTCTGGAAGATAAACTTTGTTTTGTTTATTTGTCGACAACCTAAAAGTAAAAAATGATAGTAAAATACAAAATAAAATAAAAATATAATGCAATATATCAAGAATATCTTAGAATCACTTCATTGATTATACCATTCAGCAAGAATATTCGAATAAGCCAAGGACGACTCCGCCACAGGTGAGATGAAAAATAGAGGCACTTGCGTGAAGCCTGACTTGTCCAGATGAGTGCTCAGACACTCGAATAAATCGTACACGACGCCGGAGGGATAACAAGGTATCAAAACGCATCCACCAGCTCTAAGAGTCACAGCTGCAAACATTTTTATGCAATGAAATAAAACATTACCTAAGGTATATTTTTGTTTAAAAAATAACCAGCGATAAAAATCCGAATATATATATATATATATATATAATGTAAATCATAATATATTTAATAAAGAAAATAATTTTGTTAGAAAAAATAATCTATTTCTTTTTTGTCATTTATTTAATTCTTCTAAGAAAAATAATGATTTTAATATGAAAGTATCAAGAGATTATCTTTTTGCTAGATCGTAATTTATCAGATATTGAGATTTATACTTACCAACAGTCATGCACAACTCCCCAAGCATTGTGTCTGGATTAGCAGTTGGCGTTTGTGTTAAGCCTGTCAAAATCAATAAATTAGCGTGCTTTAACGTGATTTGATCCATAGGTTTCGGATGAGTAGTCAGTGTAGATGAACCGCTGACAAAAGCAACCTTTTCGTGATCGCTAGAAATCAACCAATTACTACTACCTAAACAGAATCCTGAACTGATTGGTGTCACTGTTAAAGCACCGTATATATCCTGCAAGTAATTTGAATGTGATTATTGGGTCGTTATCTATGAAATTGCAAAAAAATTTTGAGTTTTTGAAAAAGAAAAAATGACTTCTCTCCAAATATGTATAATTGTGGATTTAAAGCATTATTGAATATTTCCAGTTACATTTGTTCGCTCTAAGAAAAAAAATTATCTACAAATTATTGCTTATTATAATTTTCTAAAAAAATTAACTATTATTAACTAAAATTATTATTAACTCAACATTTTGTATACAAAATATTATAATACGTTAATCTGTGTGTTTTAAACTTACTAGTTTTTGATCATATCCAACCATTTGAATGTTTGATAGCGCCGAATTCACGGCCGTCATAGAATAAATGTGCTTCCAAGATTTTGGTTTAACAACCTCAGCTAAGGGAGATGGCAACGTATGTAACATGTCCTTCCAATGTTTGGCCATTGTCGCCTTTGGAGTTCGCTCAATGAATTCCACTAATTCCTCCATGAAAAACCGTCCGATTTGCAATGTCGGTTCGGTGGCATATATTATACCTTCGAATCATTGTGTTTATAAAATAATATGTATCTACAGAAAGTGACAACAGATGGAAAAAAAATTTTTAATTCTTTTTTTTGTGATAACAAAATATGATTAATATTAAGAATAATAAAATTTTATTAAATGTTTAAATATTCATGTGCTTTAGAATAAAATAAAAAATAACAAAATTTCAATGGAGGTATTGTTTTTTAATAATAGATGTCTAAATATATTGTATGCTTTGGATACTTTTCACGAATATTTAAACATTTACGATAAAAAAACAATGAAACCGAATTCACAATATCGTTATTCTTGATCTTTAACTCATCTTATCATCTAGAGAGAACCATTTCTTAAATTTTTTTTCCCACCTGTTACACTCTCTTTGACAAAAAAGATTTACAAATAGACTAGTCGGGATAGATTTCTTAATAACAGTGGTACATACAGCTCTAATGCATAAAACTTTTTTCATAGGTCTTGTCAAGAGGAATCGAAATAATCCTGTGGTATTTTACTGTGTCTATCACTATTTTCATAATAATCCTTTTAAATTAAATCTAATTTGTTTTATCAAAATGTATCATCTTGCATACACTTGCTATACCTTTAAAACCTGTGCCTTCTGTTATGAATGGCAATGCAAGCATACACGTATAGTTGGATATCAAAATGGCATCAATCTCTGAAAAATCGATTATTTTTTCCAAAGGGGGAGTAAACTCTGGAACTGAATCCACAAAGACTCTACCGCAACATTCTTTTAGTTCCTTAAAATAAAATAATATATTTACAATTGCTGTTTAAAATAATTTAACAATATATTAAAAACATTAAATATTTAAATAGTATTTCACTAACCCCTTCGATTTGCCAGTCTTGCTGATTATCATTGCGTGGAAGCCACGTTGGCAGGGAATTAAACTTGTTGCTAGGAACCATGGGCAAAGGCATAAAATGCAAAATGGATTGCATATTCAAGCCGCAATCCAACATGAGTGTGGTTCCTTTGAAAGTTAGAACCAAACATGGCTTTGTTGGCTCACTGGATAAGCAATACTAAAAATACCAAATTGTTAATTCTTATAAACAATGTATCAATTCAGAGAACTGGATATTATTTTTTGTCTAAAAACTCTTTATTATACTATAAATATGAAGCTAAACATTAATTTTATAAATAATACAAATTTTTAGATAAAGAATATTATTATTTGTCAAATAATAGAAACAATTCTATTTTCTGTCAAAGCGACTCTTGGTGCTTAATATTCAAATTAGTAAATTTTTCAGTTCTACAAACTGCATGTGGATTCAACTTAAAACTGGAGCTAATAACGTCACATTAGAAATACCATCATAAATTATACTTATCATCAATTTAATAATAATGGATTACCGCTTATAATTATTATTCCTCTAACAATTCTAGTTTCTTTATGTTAAACAGAAATAAGTACCTTTAATTTTTTTCTCATCAATAAACTTTCGCATTTTGAGGTTATATTTACATACTTTCAGATTATAAATAAAAAACAGCTGTAACTCTATCAACTATAATGACTTGTAATTAAAGCGATATAATTACCAGCCTCATCTTGAATCCTTTATTTACAAGTTCCTCGAGAGAGTATATCCGTTCCAGTTGATTTTCTTGTAACTGAAAAGCCGGTTTTTAGATGTCAAGTTCTTAATTCGAATCTCAAATTTAATAAACTTTCAAATCTTTAATACATTCAAGTTTTTTTAATAAATTTCTTTTTTTTCTACTTTTCGAACTTCCTAGGTACTTCTAATTCAATAAGTTCAATTTAAGATGAAAGCACGTGAACTTACATGAATCACATTCTTAGTATTGAGTGCCTACTGCCTACGTTAAACAGCTGATTAAACTGCGTTCCATTTAACGCTTACACGCTCGTGGAATCATTCCAGCTTGGTTGCGTTTATCAAATGTTAAACAAGGACAAACAATGCTCGCGAGCGTTGCTTTTTGGTGACACTCAGATCTCCGATAGGAATTTGGTTCGTGCTGCTTTCCTGCGTTTTCCTTGGTTTTTCTCGAAAAAGGAAAAATATTGGAGGCAACATAAAAAATATAAGTACAGTCGAGTACGAGAATAATCGACTGTAAAATTCATTCATTTCTTATGGCATAAGGCTTCAAAGTCTATTGTAGATCCCGGGCTTAAGGTTATACTACACAAAAACATAACCACGTTTAGTCTGATTAGAGAGCCTCATCTTCTAGTAAAATTTTTTCGATTTTTATGTGTACAAATTATGGCACTTTAGAAAAATGCTGAACAAGTTTATAACTTTTCTTAGAATTTTTTATTTGTCATTTCGAAAATTTAAGATTCTATGTTTTCTGGAAAAGTAGTATATCTTAAACTTTTTTTAAATTATATATATATACATATATATATATATATAGATTTCATTAAAAATTTTAGAATAAAATTTTTAAAAATACCTTACAAAATTTCTCAGAATTTACACACATTCTTATATACATATATAAGAATTAGAAAAGATGTTTTTGGTAGTTTTAAAAATTGTTTTAATTTGTATATATTTTAAAATTTGAGAAATTTTTCAAATAATTTTTCAAAAATTGTGTGAAATTTATTTAAAATTCTGAGAAAATTTTTCACCAGGATTCTTATCTAATTTAATTTATAAGGAATGTCTATAGGTAAATGATGGAGAACTAACTGCAGACACAGTATTGCTTTTTCTATCCTTGCAGCTTTCTTTAATGATATAGGAATTATCTTCCAAAATGTGTGAAATCATTGTTTTGTTTAATGGTTATTCCAAAAATTTGGATGATAAAAAAATGGATGCAAATTGCACTTGCACTCTAATAAGAGGCCCCAAACTGATTATTGTCGACACTATGACCGCTTGGGACCGTGAGAGGCTAATAGAAGGTACAATACATAGAATTCACTGAAATTTTACAATATTTTTTATTAACACCAAAACGATCGATAATATTTCACCAGAACTATCAAAGATGTCAAGTTGATGCTTTCTTATATATACTTATTTTTAGTTAAGGAAGAATAATTATTATGATATTATTTGTGTATCGTATTTATATTATTATATATAGTACAATCTAATACAAAAGACAAAAAAATTTTGAAATGATTAATCGAAATGGCATTATCGGCCATGCTAACATTAATACATATTCATTAGTATATACAGCAGACATTTTATTATTTCATATTGCAAGTACAGAGATAATCACATAGTGAATATGTAAAAAAAATTTATTATTTTTTGATTAATCATTTAATTAATCAAATGTATCAAATATATCAATGTTTGATATATTATACAGTATTTAATAATAATATGTAAATATAATTAATATATATATAAATTATGAATTCAATTGAATGCTGAACTTATAGAACTCTTACCATTTATTTATAGTTTTGTTTAATTCTTTTTTTATCTTTGAAAAAGAGATAAAACTGATTCTATTGTATTTGCAATTAATGTTGGAAAATACAATTATTTTTATTTTTCTTATTTCTTAAGACTTAAATTAAAAGTTTTAGGACTTTTATAGATAACATGTAACGTCTTTTCAGCACTTGCACAGTATAATATCGAGCCAAAGGACATCGATTACGTTGTTTGTACTCATAGCCATTCCGATCACATAGGGAACAATAATCTGTTCACAAAAGCAGAACACGTTGTGGGTTTGACTGTTCAGTATCGTACTATATTTTACGAAAATCCACGGATTTCGAACGGTAAGCTTATTAGGGTATAATGAATTTATAGAAATACGGTCACCACAAAAAGTTACATTTTTTCAGAGGGCTATGAGCTCTGTCCAGGTGTTACAGTTATGGCCACGCCAGGACATACGAAGGAAGATGTTACCGTCTTAGTAAAGACGATAATGGATGGAGAAGCAAAGCTTGTAGCTATTACAGGTATACGCAAGTTTCAGAGATTATTGATGCATTTTTAGTAAAATTTAAGCATACGCGAATAAAAAGTTTTTTTTTCTCAATTTAGAATTAAATACTTATGTTATATAGCAAAAATGTTTCTGATTTCACGCTTTTATAGGAGACTTATTTGAGAAAGAGGAAGATATTTTTGAACCGCATATCTGGAAATCGCTTGGTATACCAGAATTGGTAAAAACTCAATCCGTTATGCGTTCTCGTGTAATAGATCTTGCAGATTTTATAATACCTGGACATGGGCCAATGTTCTACGTTACTGATGCTATGAGAAAAGCCGTGAAATGTCAAGTAATTCCATAAGAAAATTGTTTGTTATTAATAAACATTTATACCAAGTTTTATAAAATACGTAAAGATTATTAAAAAAAAGTAAAGAATTTCTTCAAATTACAATATTATTACGGAAAATAATAGAAAATCATTATAACAACTTGTTAACGTCCTTTATTTTGTTTTAACTTTTGCTTTATTTTTACGTCCTTTATTTCGTTTTAACTTTGCAGTTATTGATTTTAATAAGTAATTTTTATCAAAAACGTTCACTTGAAAATTAACCTTCGATAAAAATCTGTTCTTACCGGAAGTTAAATTTTAAACAACAAGGAGTTATAAGTTTTATCAGTATGACATGCAACAAATTATATGAAAAGATTATTCTAACATCATCCCGATTAATAAAACCTTTTTTTAAATCTTATTATTGATTCACATACAAAAATATAAACCATTTGAGTAATTTTGCATATGATAGTTTGTATTTATGTATAATGAATAAATCCTAATGAAGATTGATTAAATACGGTTGATTCTTTTCGTGCTTGTACAATTTTTTATATCTTTAAACAGGGACTCGGATCATAATTATATTCCAAAATAAAATTTCGGACCGGTTATAGTTATGGTCCGAGACTACTCAACTTTCGATTTCGATGTCAGTTTAAGTCCTTTTAGTTCCAGTAATAATGATTACCATTACAGATATAATTATTGAAATTGAAAAGGACCGAAATCCAAATTGTATTTTAATCTAAAGTAAATAGTGTTATCAGTAATAAAATATCTATGTAGTAATGCTATATATTGTATATTAGAATTTGATCCTCATTATGAAGCAGATAACATTTATAAATTAAATTGTGTTTCTCGTTCAATTTTTTGTCACTTGTTTTTGTTACATTGTAATATTCTATTAAAAAAAAGCAAAAATAGAATATATAGCATTTTATTGTTCATAATAGGAAACACGCTTGCTTATGAATTTACAATTAACAATTCTCAAATTTAGAATTAAGCATGAAAAAATGTGAAATTTTATCTTGACATACAACAAAAACACTGCTCATTCTCACTACTGCAGCCAAAAAGACTGTTCCAAAAAGGATACTAGTAAGAAAGATTGTTATTTATGATACATCAATAAGACTAGCTAGTTTGTATCTGCGAAGTCTACGAAGTCTGCGAAGTTTAATGATGATACTGACGACGGCTGTAAGGAAATGGTGCCAGTAATCAGTGTGAATTCATCATAAATCTTCATTAGTTTTTCCATATGATATTTTTGCAAACAATAAAATTTGTTCAACGAAGAAGATCGTTTCAGTGCGCAATCTATGCAACATACCATAAATATGTTCCCACTCTTCTTACAGAATAATAAATTGAATACCTCGATCTACAAAGAATTAAAAACATAATTTGTAATGCTAAATAATTTAAATACATATTATGTAATAATAGATTGCATGATATATTAAAAATAAGAAACATACTTGGCAATTTTTGCAATAATGCACTTTCTTCTCGAGTTCATCATCATGTTCCACTTCTATATCCTTGCTTTTTAAAAATTTAAGTATCAAGTAATTATATATCATTGTTTGCTTCAGGCAGTTCTTGATTAGATGAAATAGGTGCTGATCCGATATTTCAAAACATAATTGTGCCAGATTCCATGAAAGCTGCACCATCGGCACGATTGATTTGAATTTTTGCAGCTTGTTCCATTCGTAACGTTCTATCGCCAGCTCATACTGTCTGGCAGTAAACGGGCCAAGATTCCACGCGACATTATTGCACGAGCCGATCGCATGCACCCAATGTACACAACCAACGTTCACCCACACGATATCACCCGGTTTTTGAAGGAATCTGTATACCGGAACATTATTCTTATGTAGAACGTTCATATCCGGCGGCCACCAACTGTCACCTAAATAATTGACGCGGTTTTGCGTACAAAGTAACTGTAGTACACCCCAGTATTCATACGATACTGCAAACCATTCGCAGTCACCCGGTCCGGCATTAATGTTGATAGAACAGAAATTATTATTCTCTTGATGGCCAGTTGTTCTGCAGCCCGGTACCTAAAGACAATTACACATATACATTTAACGCAATCAACACTCCAAATATACCACTGAATCTCCGTTCTAACTTAAAATTATGTTATATCAAATTTTAGATATACCTTCATATATGCCTGTGCGGTATTCATTCCTAAGATATCGTAGCCCACGTATGTAAGCATATTATCATCACATTTAATTCTCAAAAAAGGTGGTAACTTTATTAACTCATGTAACTGTAGCTTCCAGATTTCCACATCTGATAAATCTACATTGGTAGCGAATTTTATTGTCTGTGTCTTTTTATTCTTAGTCATTCGACAGAGATTGCTGGAAGTGGATATGTTACTGTACACATTTTCGTCATTATTATCCAGGAAAGTTTGGGCTTGATAATCCGCATACTTTCTGATCGTCATAGAAGTCACGTGACTGAAACATTTCCAGACCTTCTTTTTCTTCTTTGTATCCCTATTCTCATCAGAAGCACACTTTATTTGATTGAGTACATCGATTGGCATATCCGGATTTGCCTTGAGCAGACTTTCAGTCGAAAAGACACCTAGATCAATCTCGAACGTTGTCGTGAGGCCACGTACCAAGACAATTGGATTCATCAGACAGATCTCCTGTAATTCCGAATGGAACGCTTGCGCTTTGCTGTTTATATAATAGCTTTGTATCAACGGTGATAATTGTTCCTTTGTTAATGGTTTACTGCACGGATACGGCGGCGAGCAATCACTTACTAATGAACATTTTGGCACTTCGTTCAGCTCTCGATCCTTGTATGTCTTAAGAATTGTTGAAGCATCCATTGAGTTGTTCATTATTTCCTATATCGACTACCATCCGGATAGGTAATTAAATAGAAGCTGCAAAATAAGAAATAAATATCCTACAGCTAGTTAAAGTTCTCCATTATCGCACACACATAATTATGACCGTTTGTTTATTAACATATTCGATATAAGATTTGAAAGTTAAGGGATAAAGTGATGCAAAATAGAATATAGATTCAATAATACAAACATTTTCCCCACAATAGAGCTATTTGATTTATTGATATAACGTTTTAAATATTCTGTTTGTTAGGTAATATACATATAGATATACTAATCATCATCATTTTGAGGAACAAAGAGAATAAATAGGTTTATTTTCGAAATAATCGCAAGGACATGTTCAGTTTACTCAATAGATGAGTTTGCTGAATGTAGCCAATGTAAATTCGACCGTTCAGTATCATATTATTTTCTACAAAAAAATCTACAAATTTTGAACGGCTACAAAGCTTATTCAAAAGTGTTAAAATATGGCCAGTTTAGTAGAAACGATAATGAATATAAAACTTCTAGCTGTCACAGATATTCAGAGATTTCATAGATTCATATATTTTTAACAAAATTCAAGTACACTAATATAGTCAAAAAGTTTATTTCTTTCTCAATTTATACTTATATACTTATATTTATAGCAAAAATGTACTGATTTCACATAGTTTTTCAAAAGATTTGTCCGAAAATTTGGAAGCTTCTGACGTACATCTGGAAGTTGCTTGTCTTTCACCGGAATTGTTAAAAATTCAATTTAAATACTTGGACTAGGATAGTGCTCTTCGCGTAACGGATATTGTGAAAAAAATCGTAAAGAGTCAAGTAATTCAGATGTATTTGATAAGTATATTTGTTAATAAATATTTATGCGGAGTTTTTACAAAATACAATAGAGAATGCCTTCAAATAATTACCTGATGTTAGAATGGAAATTATTATAAGAAACAAAACAAAATCTTGATAATAACTTTTTACGTTTATTTCGTTTTGACTTTTGTTTAACAGTTATTGATTTTAATAAGTAATTTTTTTCCAACGTTGACTTGAAAATTAAACTTTAATTAAAATCTATATATATATACTTATCGGAAGTTAAATTTCGGACAATAAGGAATTATAAGTTTTATCACTATAATATGCAACACATTGAATGAAAAGAGATTATTCTAAGAACATCCTAACACTAATAAATCTTTTCTTAAATCTTATTATTGATTTGCGTACCAAAATATAACTAACTTGAGTAATTTTGCATACGGCAATTTGTCTTATTTTTCTAAAAAATTTACGTACAAAAATGGATGGGAGACGAACGATGATTCTTCATACTTATACAATTTTTAATATCTTTAAGTGAAAATGTCGCATTTTATTTCCATTTTTGTACGTAAATCATGTCAAAAAAGTTGTATAGTAATCGTTCAAATGTTTCTGTGCGCACTGAGCAAAATATCGGAAGAAAATTACAAAAATATTGATATTTGAAGTATTAGCCCTGTGTATCATCCATCTCTAGTTCAATTATATAATATTACAACTTCACATTATTATAAAGTGATAATATTTATAAAGTGAATTATATCTTCTCTATTTTTTCTTGTGACGTAATAATAGCGTTAAAAGAACAAAAGTAAAATATAACGCGTATATATTTTTACTCTTTATAATAGGCTTTATATCTTGCCTGATGCTGAATTCACAATACAAATTGATCAATAATTTTTGAATTTACGATTAAGCGTTAGAAGAAAAATATAAATTTATTTTAAATATCGTTAGAAAGAAAAATATAAATTTATTTAAATTTCATTTAACGCTATAATTTTACGCCAGACAATGATAGTGATACTAGTAATTAATTAATAGTAAAATTATCATAAATCTTCATTAACTTCTTCATACGATACTTCTTCAGGCAATGAAATCCCTTCAATGAAGGAGACTTCTTCAGCGCGCAATCTATGCAATACACTATAAATTTATTCTCTTCCTCCTCCTCCACTTCTTCTTCTTCCTCCTCCTCCACTTCTTCTTCTTCCTCTTCCTTCTCCTTTTCCTTCTCGTCATCATCATCACTCTCCTCCTCCTCTTCTTTCTCTTCCTCCTCGTCCTTGACGTCGTCGTCGTCGTCGTCGTCGTCATCGTCGTCTTCGTCGTCTTCGTCGTTGTCGTCGTCGTCTTCGTCGTTGTCGTCGTCGTCGTCGTCGCCGTAGTCGTAGTCGTAGTCGTCATCGTCGTCGTCGTCGTTGTCGTCATCGTCGTCGTAGTCGTAGTCGTAGTCGTCGTCGTCGTCGTCATAGTCGTCGTCGTCGTAGTTGTCTTTCATCTCTTCCTCGTCCTCGTCGTTGTCGTCGTCTTTCTCCTCTTCCTCCTCGTCCTCCTCCTCATTCTCCTCTTCTTCTTCCTCCCTCTCCTCCTCTTCCTTCTCCTTCTTTCCCTCCTTTTCCTTACAAAATGCTATATTAAACACCTCAGCCTGCAAAGAATAAAAAATTTGTTTCTAATGCTGAATAACTTAAATACATATTATATAATGTAACATATTGCATGACATATAAAAATAAAAAACATACTTGGCAATCTTGGCAATAATACGATAGTCTCTTCTTAAATTGGTGTCGTACGTCGTATTCTACTTTCACACCTTTGTTTTGTAAAAATTCAAGTGTCAAGTAATTATATATCATTGTTTGCTTCAGGCAGTTCTTGATTAGATGAAACAGTTGCTGATCTGAAATTGTTATAATTTTGCGTGCCAACCTCCATGAAAGATGCACCATCGGTACGATTGATTTGTATTTTTGCAGCTTGTTCCATTCGTAACGTTCTATCGCCAGCTCATACTGTCTGGCAGTAAACGGGCCAATATTCCACGCGACATTATTGCACGAGCCGATCGCATGCACCCAATGCACACAACCGATGTTTACCCACACGATATCACCCGGTTTTTGAAGGAATCTATATACCGGGACATTATTCTTATGTAGAACGTTCAAATTCGGCGGCCACCAGCTATCATGTAAGTAATTAATGCCGTTGTTTTTACAAAGCGAATGTATCATGCCCCAGTACTCGTACGGTACCGCAAACCATTCGCAGTCGCCCGGTCCGGCATTAATGTTGATAGAACAGAAATTATTATTCTCTTGATGGCCAGTTGTTCTGCAGCCCGGTACCTAAAGACAATTACACATACTAATATGGATTGAATCTCTATCAATTTCAAATATGTATATCGCTAGATATATCCTTATCTCAATTTAAAACTATATGTTATATCAAATGACATAATTTTATGATGAATTCTAAGAATTATAATGATATATGTATATATATATATATATATAAATTATTATTACATAAATTATTTTGAATTGTACCTTCATATATAACTGTGCAGTGTTCACCCCTAAGATTATATGACCCACATAGGTAAGCATATCATTGTTCCAATTTATTTTAAGGAAGGATGGTAACTTTGTTAATTCATCGAATTGCAGCTTCCATAGTTTCTCATTTAGATCCACGTTGGTAGCAAATTTCACTGTCTTTGTTTTGAATTTTTTCTGTTTCTTTTTTTCCTTAGTCATTTGACCGAGACAATCATTCAGGAGTATTTGAATTTGATAATTCGCATACTCTGTCATCGTCATATAACTTGACTGACTGGAACATCTCCAGATTTGCTTTTTATGGTTTCTATCCCAATTCTCATCAGAAGCGTACTTTACTTGTTCACGTATTTCTATTCTCTTGGAGGGATTTGTTTTAATTAGAGGCCTGGTCAAAAAATTATTCAAATTAATCTTAAGCGTTTCCGTAAGACCATGTATAATGACAATAGGATGTGTCAAACAAAATTGTTGCAGCTTCGAATCGAATGCCTTCCTCTTACAATTTACATAATATCTCTTTACTTGCGGCGACAATTCCGCCTTTGTTAATTTCCGGCTGGGCGGGTCTGGCGGTGAACAATCGCTTACTAACGAACATTTTGGTACCTTGTTTATTCCAGCATCCTTACATTTTTCGAGAATCGTTAATGCATCCATATTGATATCCTCCTTTCCTATTTATTCAATTATTTTGTGAATAACTAAATAAAAACTATAAAAAGGCAATAAATAAATTCTGTGAAACAAGAAATAAGCGTAAGCTAACGACTACTTACAAGTTCTTCACTGTCGTACACTTGAACTGTAACTGTTTTGTTTATTACCACATTCGATGGATTTGAAAGTTGAAGGACAAATGATACAAATAGAGAGAACATAGATTCAATAATATAATCATCCCTTCCCCAGATTAAAGTTTCTCGGTTTATAACTACATTTTAAATATCAATAATTGTGTAAACTTCTCACACTGCTTAACGGTTTATGTATCTCGCGAATATTAAAATGCGACATTTTTCATTTTTTGAATTCATTAGATTTTAGTTCGATATTCAGTATTATATTTATGTTGTATACAATTAATTTTTATGTGCCGATAACGGTCAAAATTTAACCGAAACGGTTACCTTTCTCTCTTTTTTTAAATATATATGACTTTGCGAAAGACATCTTACGTTGTGACTATGCTCATTTCTATTTATGTTTATTAACAATTGTCGTTATTATAGATAGGACGCCAATATAGATAGGACGAGATATATTGTGTGTTCCTTATTTATTCCCAAAATATCATCTTTACAAACGTGAAATTATTTTTAACATCCAACAAATGAAGAAGATATTAATTCAAGTTATATGAGACTTGAAAGGTTGCACGACATACATGTATAAAGAATTTTATCAAGACTCCATAAAATACAATTATAAGGATTTCTTGAATAATAAATAATTCAAATACAAAGAATAAAAAGGCTAATGAGAGTAAACTCGCTGTTATCAATGCGAAATCACAAAAAACAATATATATTCTCGTTAACAATCAAAAAATGTCATATATAAAATACTATACGTTTCGGCCTAACATCCGGGCCATCTTCAGTAGTAAATTCAAATAAAGACATGGATCTGTAGAAAAGTGGTCACTCTCAACATCAAACAATCAAATCCACATGGTTGGTAGGTCATGTGCAAACGACAAGACGTTGATCGACAAATCCATGATTAACAAGATAAAGTTGTAATAAAGAAATAAAAGACCACCATCAGACAAACAACAAATTAATATAAAACAAGTCAAAAGATAAAAATCCGAAGATAACATTTTGGTGGTCACGATTTAAATGTGGTCACATTTAAATCGTGACCACCAAAATGTTATCTTCGGATTTTTATCTTTTGACTTGTTTTATATTAATTTGTTGTTTGTCTGATGGTGGTCTTTTATTTCTTTATTACAACTTTATCTTGTTAATCATGGATTTGTCGATCAACGTCTTGTCGTTTGCACATGACCTACCAACCATGTGGATTTGATTGTTTGATGTTGAGAGTGACCACTTTTCTACAGATCCATGTCTTTATTTGAATTTACTACTGAAGATGGCCCGGATGTTAGGCCGAAACGTATAGTATTTTATATATGACATTTTTTGATTGTTAACGAGAATATATATTGTTTTTTGTGATTTCGCATTGATAACAGCGAGTTTACTCTCATTAGCCTTTTTATTCTTTGTATTTGAAATTTTCGAGAGTCGATTTTTATATTTAATTTTTTAATAAATAATTATCTATTCTTCTTAATTTTAGACTTCCCAAAATAATAGAAATGAAAGAGTAGACCTTACTTTTTACAAATACTTTATTAAACATTGCAAAGTGTGGTACATAGTATCACAACATTGTTATACTCATTACATGTATGCGTTACAATTACACATTATACATCGGATTCACGAACACAAATATTTATACGGAGGAGCACAATACGTTCATCTTGCGATTCCGCTCACCATAACGCAGATCATTATCATTTATCTTAGAACAATCTTTTCGCGAACGCCATACTTATTTCGAAGAATTGAATCGCGAATTGATACATAATTTGATAAATACAATGCTATTTGAACATTGTCCTAAGGATTTATTCTCCTAATATCTACACTCTATACGTTCACGAATAGTTTTATTAAATCTTCACAGCCAACGACTAAATTAAAAATCCTCTCACATCCTCACGCCGTATTCGCATTCTTATTTAAAAATTATAACTGATGTAAGTTTCTTTTCGGGAATAGCGTAGATCTAACTAGAGTCTACCGGAGAATTCGCAACAGTACCGCAACAATACCAGGAAGCTGATAAATATATTTTTTGTCCGAAAGTACAAATCCAAAATTGATAAATCCTCTTAAACCCGTCTTGTACATTGTCGCGTTGTAATATTACATATTGTTAAGAATACGTAATTAAAGCTCGCGGTCGCCCACTGTTGCTACTATATTAAAAGTCAATCACATAGATATATTGTAATACATAACTTTTATTCATTATATTTATAACAATTAAAAATTATGAAAATGATTAAAAACGAAAAATCGTATGAACCTCTTCTTAAAGCAGAAACAACAGTTTTCGATTATGCAAGATTCATTATACGATTTCTCGCATTTGATGTGATAATTTGATACAATTGCAGCAAGGTAACAGGAGTCTTAAAGTATTACAATATAAATAGTAAAACGGAGTTCCCCGCACTCCGCGTAAATATAGTTGCTAGGTTTTGTACATTACGGCAAAGTCAATTCGCCAACTGCTGTAAATATCTAAAATCAGTAATTTTATAAAACGAAAAAATCCGATTACGTAGCGTGACTCTATTCGTCGTCAAATCAATGCGGAATACCTTCAAATAGAATGGCTCGCGTAACACGCAATATAATATAAATCAATCTACATAGTTTGTCCTGGATACTAAATCAATGTACAAATTTTATTGCGTATCTCTGAATTCTGAGCTGATTTAGCTTCATCCTTATATATGTATATCGATTAGATACAGGTCGATTCTTGCGCTATATCATTATTAATTTCATCAATATATATTAATTAGAATTTTCATATTTCGCAGTTACTGTATGCGAGTCGCGCATAATCCGTAACAGGTTAATATCTCACTAATTATTTAGAACTTTTTAAATAAATTATTAATGGTAATGCATAACAATAAAAGAAAATACGTTATTTACTAGATGCTATAAGAAAAACAAAGACATACGTTGATTTTTGTATGTAATTGTACAATTAGCAAGCAAATGATGCATTCTCCATTAAGTCACTTTCAAGAATTCGGCAGATATATTGAATAATTATATAGCAATAATTATTATATATGATATATATATATATATATAATTATGTAATTGTAATTGTTAAATAATTATTCAATGTGTGTATTATACAAGATATTAAGATGTAATACGACTCATTCTGTACACCTCATGACTTTTATCACACATTTAGAGTACTATAATTAAAACTTGCAAAGAAATATTCAATATGGCATAACTTTTTCAAAATTAATCTACCTAAATCCGATAAACGTATATATTAGAAATATTTCCTGACTAAAATATCCTTCATTTTTTCTCGTTCTATTCTGTTAAAAATTGCACAGGAAGCACGACCAGCTCTTAAAAAGTCCTACAGCAATTCCGATTATGATTCTTAGAGATCCTGTCGCGAGTTTCTAATATCGGTTGCAGTATACAATCGCTTAGAAAGACTCTTCATCAAAATCGGCAGCACGTTATGATATCGGATATTATCAATTGATTGTAATTAATACGGTTCTTGGCACCCTTGTCGTTTTGGCTAGGTGAAGAACTTTTTAACTGAGACTTACAATATTGATTTACAACAGCAATAAATATATACAATCGAAAATCATCGTGCGGCTGATTTTTAACTGATAATTTGACAGGAATTGTACGAAAATGATTGAGCGAGGTGAAACGGAACGGTCAATTGGCTATAAAAAAAATTTTATAAGTGTCTGCCGATCATACCGGGCAGGGCGACTCGTGTGTGCAGCGGTAGTGGTCCCGGACTAACTTCTCCCATCATCATCACGGTCCCCAGCTGTCCCACAAAGTATTAAACACACATCAAGAATCGACTCCAGAACTACATCTTCTTTCACATGTAAGCCGTTTGACGTTAATCGATTAATCGTTTACGTTCAATTTAGCGCATCAGACAATTTTTACGTATATCGCGTACATGGGCTGAGATTATAACGTTAGTTACAGAGCGAACTGGCTAATTGTGTCATCAAGATAGACCTGGAATCTATTTCGAATAAAAATCCGGCTTTAAAGTGAATCAAATTCGAGGTCAGAAAAAAATAAAATTTGTCTAACTCTATTTACAAAAACCTGCAAAAAAGGGGAGCAAGCAACCCTCCAATAATCTTGACCTTGATATATGTTGTTAAGGCCATGACCATGAGTGATCTCCAACAGGTTTTAGCCGTCGCTCATTATTTGTTAAAGAGTTATTAACAGTCAAAGTTAGTAATTATTTTCCTGCGACTTTTTACGCGAAGTGACTTACTTTCCTCCCCCTCTGCAAAGGGGCGCACGACGTCCATATCATTTCATGTTGTAAAGTGTATGCATGAATACAGTAAGTTCCGCACCCCCACCCCCCGCAGGAGGGAGGCTCCACTATTATAACTCTTCTAAACAGGATATTTACCTATTTTAGAGCTGAAAATTTTGTTTTTATGCGCGCCTCGTAGCAATAGGGGATGATAACTTTTTTTGTTAATAACTTTTTAACGAAAAACGATCGACAGATAAAACTTGTCGAGGGTCAACTCACTCAGGGTCGTGATCTTGATAATATATGTCAAGGTCAAGGTCATCGGAGGTTACTCCTCTTTTCTGCAGTTTTACAAAATAAAAAAAAAAAAAAAAAAAAAAAAAAAAAACTGCAAAGTGCTAATTTGTCAGCAGAAAGCACATTATGTGTCAATTTCGTCGATTTCCTACTTGTATATACGTATTAATTTATTCTTTATAATTTGCTGGTATATATAATATCATACTATATATTTTTATTTAAAAAAAAAAGGAAAAAAACGACAACAATCAACTAAGCAACGATCATAGTTTCGTTGCTTAAAGTATTACGCCTGGAAACTACATTGCCTCTGCAATATTGACTTCGTTATCAAATTCTAAGTAACAGTTACATTAACATAAAAGCAAATGTAACTAGTATAAGTCCGTAATATCACTGTCAGAACTATCTTAGTGAGATTTAAAGGAATTAAGTGTCTGATAAAAATTTCTCGTTAGTTTTTTAAATTAATAACAATTTAGGGTATATCTTACATATAGTTAACGCTTAACAACTCAATATTTAAACGTAAATACATGGACAGATCACCGGCAACAATTATATAAAACATATAATGTTGGAGCCGTAAAATAAATTTTAAAACGCTAAAAATATCTTAAAAATATTATGTTTACAACTGCGATCTACGTGCAGAGCTCCTGATGCTCGTCTGTGAATAAATAATATAAAAATATACAACTAAAAGGAGAAAACAACGTAAATTAAGTAAGATAAGTACGTGTAAAGTAGTATATTGCGGCATGCAAATATTAAACGAATAAGTATCGCACTGGCAGCGCGATTGCAAGATGATTAATGCCAGAGATTTTTTTACATCAAAAAATTTACTACATGCAAAAAAACGCTCGAGGATCACAGAGATCGGTAAAGTAAGTATCCACAATCTCATTCTTTTAAATATATAATTTTACAAAGAATTAAAATTACGTAATTGCAATATTACGAAAACGATCTGTTCTGTCAGAAATATTGCATTTTCACGTAAAGTTATTCTAAAAAAAGACGAGATGTATGAATACTTTTTTCCCCACTTTGTGTCAGCTTATAAATAAACATAAAACTTTTCACAGAGTAAGAATTAAAAGATCACAGCAGCAATAGAGCCTCAATGCCTTTTCCGTCTTTACAGTTGCAATCATCAATTTTCGCGCGATTAGAATTAATGAACACTGAAAATTATGTTTAATGCTCGATCGTGTGAGCCTCGCAAAGAATTTGACAAACATTTCAGTGGTTAGAAAAGAAAGAATCCGGGAGTGCTTGCACGTGGTACTCGCGCGTTAAAACTCTGTTGAAACGTTCTGTTGAGATTAAAAAAGCATTTTTTTATTCAGTTCAATAAGTACTACGTACTCTCCAGGTCCCGAATTTTCTCCTCTAACATTCTCTATATGGAAATATATTATACAAGTCAAAAAGCGACAAATATCATTTTCATTCTCATTAAAACTATACGTATATATTAATACTTTCGGAAAATCACCGCGTATTGTGACCTATTCGCAATTGTTCAAAGAGAAGAATCTGTCTTTTTTGCCGTATAGATCTTAGGTACACATGGATCGTTCGTCGAGCGTTTTCCCGACTACAACGTTCGTAACGGAATAAATCCCTCCATTCCGATGAGTCTGAGGTCTTCGTCATCGGAATTGGAATCATCACTGTCACCGTTTCTCTCTCTCTAGAAAAACCGATGAAAAAAAGATACGGTCAAACATGCGCTCCGTAAAGATGTGACTGTAATTTTTTCCTTTCAAAGAGAAGAAGAGAAAGACACATAAGCGAAAAAACATATCGGAGAAGCTTGTCATCTCTACGTACATTAAACATAATTTTCGAATCGAGTTTTGTAAATAAAAAATGTATTCCATCGTTATGTAATGAATATCACACGCTATTGTCTATTCATTAATTCTTATTTTGTCTATAATAGATAATCATTGACTAGAATAGTTATTTGTTGCAAAATTACAAAATCACTTTGACAGAAAAGAATGCGCAGTTACGAGAAGTCATTCGCACGCAACGATTGGCTCATTAACATTTTACTGTCTGTCAATTTACACACTGTTATAAATATAAGATGGAGCACAGCAGAAAAAATTCGGTTTGCATTAACAAACAGCATATGTACATTCTCCTTATTCTTAAGCAAGCAGATTTGTTAAAAATTCATGGTGTATTTACAGTTGTCATTATCATTTTCGAAATTGAGACATTGATTGCGATAACAGCATAAAACTTCAGATTCCACTGGTTAATTGATAACAAGTCATAATTAAAACTTTATAATTATACAAAATTATTTATTTGTAGATCTTAATTTTTCCATCTTTTGCAATTAGCTATCATATTTTTAAACTCATTTCTCCTAAAAGAAAAGTATCGCGCGCGTTTTATAAATTACGCTGCTATCACATCCGAATTCTCGACTATCTCTGTTGCTGTTTCACTCGAGGGTTTGAACTCCGAAATCGAAAACAAGAGACGTTATATCATCCAGATAAAATTAGTCTTACGTGCAATAGACATTTAAGCTTGTATTTTATGTAAAAGAACAAAAGAAAGAAAAGGCGATTATCAAAGTCGAATGAAAAGTGATCGTTCGCGCGATTACATCTCTACATCTGTATTATACATACAGTATAAAAAAAAACATGCGTAGAAATATACAGTGTACACACACTAGCCGCAGGCTATTGTTGTTTACACTCATAGTCAAAGTAAAGAATTAAAAAAAGAAAAGAAATATGAAATTCATTTGTATGATATATCAGTCATCTCTTCATGGAAAATAAAAGATGTGAAACTTTTAGCAAAATTGTACATGATTGTAAACGAATGTCAAACAAGTTACATAGGAATTAATTAAGTAAATTGTAATTTACTGCGTTTAACGCGAAATATGTACATGACTCTTCTATTCTCCCGCTTTTCCTTTCTTCAACCTCAAAAGTTTAGGTATATAAAAGGTGGTGGTGTTAGGATTGCTGTTAGTTCTACCTTCTGTGTAAATTGAGAATTACATAGGGCTCGTCCGGATTAGTGCCAACGTCTGTAGTGCTGTTGTTAGGCTGATAGCACGGATTAACAGTATAATTGAGATGAGGCTGATGGAAACTCACCGGCTGAACGCTAGTCCTGCGCCGCTCCATCTCGCGATCTTCCAAGCAGAAGTCCGAATCTGAATCGACCTTCCTCGCAACCTCGTCCTGTTGCAATGTAATTGTATTATAGATGTAGTAAAATTATTTTCATTTATTCTATAATCTACCGTATTATGTTGTAACAATATAATATAGATATTTAAGATGATACAATTGATGTTTTAAAATGAAGTTTTCAACACATATAACTCAGACGATATAGTACCTGCGTCATTTGTTGTGTGGTTGTGAGAATTCTCGCTAACGGACTACAACAGACCGGCAACGTTTCTAATAACGTAGGCCTGGAATGCGTTAACAAAGGCTTCATGTATCTGGTATCGAAATCGCCCCAAATTCTCGCAAGTAACGCCTTCTCGTTAGGTTTCGTATTACCGATATTACCGCTGCTACTGCCACCGCCTGGCAATGATCCGTCCTGCATAGAATTATACTGTGAAATATGAACAATGCATCAGTTATCCATCCTGTATGATTCTGCGATCTTTTCTTTAATCTTTAAACAAAAATACATCTATCCCCCTCATTTACTATTTGTAAACATATATTTATTAATGTGTTAAAATAAAATCGAAATAGGTATACACAATTTTAATTTTTTTTAAACATAAAAGTATATCATAATAAGAATGTCATTAGAATATTAATATATCTACTAATGACATCCTTTTTGGATATTCGGAGTTATCTTTATTTATTATTAGTTGCGAAGAAATACATGCTTTTTTATTAATTCATGATTCTAGTGTTCCATATTAAACATGTCTGCTGTGTAGGTACTGTTAATAAATGTAAATATTTCAGTGTTCTCTCTCTCCAGCTACTCTTTGACATACAGAATGGATAACAAAAACCATACCAGAAAAAATAATCAGAAGCACGTGCAATAAACAAATTCGATCAAAAGCTTTAATAAAATAAATCTGCAATTTGCAATATAAGCAGAGGGATCGTATAAATCATATGATAGATCTACAATCACATGCTACAATAACAAAAAAAATCACTTTTAATAAAGATATGTATTAAGCGACACTTGATGCATGCAGTTACTTTTACAGGAATTGCATAATACCATGCTTCATGCACCATGTATACATATGCAGGGTTTTAAAAAACTATTCAGCATTTGTATGATAAAGAGTAAACAAGGAAATTAAATGTCAGACAATACATAGAAGTCAAATAAGTGAGTTACCATTAACATACAAAATTGTTTACATCCGAAAAACGATAGAATTTTTAATTTTTGTTCACTAAGGATTTTTTACTCATCTACGATGTGAAATTAATACAACATTCTTTCAACACAAAAATATAATTCTAATAGAATTTTTCATAGCTTTATCATTCTTTATGAAAATTAAGAGTTTCGCATTTTTTATACTAAACAAAATTGAAAATATGGCGCATTAACTTCGCAAATTTAGTATAATACTTTCCCTCTAAAGAGTACAAAAAGACAAGATAAATATTTCTACTTTTAGTTACAGATCCCGTTAGTACTACTTGGGTTCTACAAATATATATAATTTGAAAACAAAGTTCTAACAATTATTAATTTTAATACATTTTAAATGCAAAGAGTAAAAAAATCATTCAGTATTTATATGATAGATAATACATAACATACAGTTGAGTTTACGACCTGTGTTCACTCTTTTACTGAGTACAGTATGTACTATCTACTATATAAACGCTCAATAGTTTTTTAAAAATTAATATACAAAATTTATATTAATATTTGTGTGTAAATAATAAATCAAACTGCGAAAGTGAGTCATCGAAATACACAAAAAATAAGTCAAATCGTCTAAACTCTCAATTTGTCAAATAGGAAAATAGTGCGTCAAGTCAATCTTTAATTGTGATAACGTACCGGTGGACTTCTTCCCCTATGTATGTCCAGATCACTGTAGCCACCCTCGCCGCCAGACTATTAACATTGATAAATTAAATTGTAAATCGCAACATTCACGCGCGCGTTTTTTTTTTAGCCGCGAATATTTACAATTAACTGTCGAATATCACAAAGTACCTAATGTAACAAACATGCATACAAGTTTGCAGGATGCGAGGAATAGAATCGGTACAATTTCGGTAAAGCAATTTCGTACAAATATTATTTGTGACTCAAGAAATCACAAAAATTTCACAGAGAAAGAGTTTAAAGCAGGTACTTTTAACTATACTATAAACTACGTACTATACTATAAACTATATTTTCATATAACTATACAGCTGCAACATCAAAAAATTGAGCTTACCGACATTGTACCGGTGTCAATATAACCGCTATGGGCATTAATTTTAGTTAACTGTTAATTTTGACTCAATCTTCGATATATCGATATTACTTTTCATATTAAAAGAAAACTAGCAGAAGCATGGCAAAAGAAAATCTAACTATCTAAGCTTCAATTTTTATAATTAACGAGAAGACTCAGCTGATCAATATGCATTCCAATAGCGTGTCCAAAAAATTATACACTTACAATTAGATAAAGATCATTAAACGAAACAACAAAACTTACATGCACAAATGCATATACTTTTGTCTTTTTAAAACAAATATTCTTATACTCATTTTTTAATATAGTGTATGTCGTTATATTAATGATTATTCTATCAATTATTATTATTATTGTCAAAGTTATAGATAATTAATCATCTTACAGAGTATAAGGACACTGTTTTATATATGCAAAGTTACTGTATTGAAATAATTGTAAATCTTGCTACCAATCATACTTAGCTATGTATAGCTTCGAAATTATATAAACGTATAAACATATTAATATACAAGTGTGTATATATGTAAACAGTCAATGTCTTTATTCTGCATTACGTGATACTAATTCTTCTAGATAGCATACAGAACACGATTGTCGAATAAAAACTCTGTCTGATCATACTTACACTGCGCGTTCCATTATGAGAGAGTCCTTCTATTTCCTCATCTACTCCGACTCTACAAAAAAAAAAACAGTTTAAATGACAATGAAAAGCAGAATTAATTACACTAATAACAAATTTAATAGAAATAACGAATAAAAATTATTAATGTTAGAAAAAATTCGTTTGTTTTTTAAAATAAAATTTTCAATGAAAGTTAAAAAAAAAAAACAAATTAATATTAAGTTACATTTAGGTATTTTACTCACGGAATATTAAACCAGCTTAAAAATTGCGTTGTTGCGCCTCCTTGTAGAATAACAGTCAATATAACAATTAAGCTAGTTGTGGTCAACATAGCTTGTCTGGCATCTGATACGGTGTTCCTGATGGCAAGAGCGAAGCTCATAGCACCACGCAATCCTGCGAAGAACAACATGTGCTGATAGTTTAATGATATCTTCGGCTTTCGCGCCAGATTCAGTATGAAAGATAGCGGATAAACATTAGCCGCACGACCCAATAACGCGCATAGCTGTAAAGTATGTTAAGGATAAATATTTTATAAATTAAATAAAATTAATTAAAATAGAATTTGATATCTATTCAACGATATTTTTTCAATAGTCATGTTGTGTACTGCGTTAACTGAAATGATTCTCTTAGAGAATTCTTTTGGAATCAATCGGAAAAAATCAAATGAGTGTCCAATGGCGCTCGTACAGCTTTTGTAGATATATATAATGTAAGGATACGAATCCTGCGAAAATAAAGCCAGGATCAAAATGGTGTTTTGGGAAGGTAAACATCGATACGCCGATATAACTAAATATAAAATTCTCGGCTAAGAAGTTCAACAGCTCAAACAGTTGTTTCGTGCGTTGACGCGAATCCAGACTCAGGTTGTTGTACGTATAATGAGCCTGGCATATTCCACAGAAGAGGACGGCAACCACGCCTAAAATTTTTTAATAAAATCTATTAGATTGATGCGAAAAATTTGTAAGTTGTTTTTTCTTAAATAAAGATACTAATCCTTAATTTTTATCAATAAGGAGAAATTAGAAAAAAATTCTTTCTGCATGGAAAAGCTATTTTCCATGCAAAGTCAATGGTGATTACTTTTATTAATAGATACTAGTTCTTGAGAGAAAAAGATTTGTATTATTTTTTTAATGTCATAATGTAACACATGTGAAAATATTACCTGTAAGATCAGTAGCTTCGGCGATTAAAAATGTACTATATGACATTAAGACGAATAACGCCGACTCTAAAAGAGGAAAATCTCGAACCCTGGTAAACTTGGTCAATAATGCAGTGATGCACCCCATCGTAGCACCGATAAAGAGAGACAAACTAAATATTTCAACGAAGTCTCCAAACGCCTGGAAGAACGCTACAGTCTCGAAACCGCCCGATCCCGACTGGTATCTTTCAGCGTAATTCTGTATTGAGCTGAATTAAAATATCAGAATTTTTTCAATATTGCATTTAAACATACATCGCTAAATTACAGCTACAATATATTGTTAGATAATTCCATTTGTAGTGTCTACTTTTTATTGCAGAATCCTTAAATGCAACTTCTTTAGCTAATTTCAAATTCTCGATTTTTTCTATCACAAGAATTTCTTTACAGAAAGAATCAATTTAACTAAAAAATTAAAAAATCAGGGAAAATAAAATAGGATTGATTCTGCAAAATTTCTGTATACTAACCCACTAAGTACAATGGCGACCGCATCGTTCAACACACTCTCGCCAAATACCAAAGCATAAAGATTAACATCTACATGTAGATCGTTGAAGATGGATATTATTGTCAGAGGATCCGTAGGCGATATCAGAGCGCCAAAGTATAAAGTATCCAGAAACGTGAACGACGTAGAGAGATGTGGTATCAATTGTACAAAGGCATACATCAGAGCTCTATACAGATAATACGGTATCGACTCATTAAAGTAAAATTTACAAGTCATTAAAAGAAAACTGTGTTTAGTTATAAGTGGCAAGACAAGCAGTAGATAAGCTCGGTCAAAGTACGAGCTATGCAAAGTAAGACTTATACTTTTTATAATCATATTTCTATAAACATATTTTGTTTGTTGCTAAAAATCTAAGAGCTAACAGCCGTTCCTTTCCTATAAATATGCATTAAATAAAAAAATAAACAATATCAATTCTTATTGGACTGCTTAAATTTCAAACCAAATGAGACAATACCTACAGCGATCTCATTCGGTAATAAAAAAAAATAATTAAGTATGAGATAAATATAAAAATGGTGCTTTAAAAAAAAAAGAATATGCATCAATAGTGATACAAAATGTATAACATGACATATAAATTAACACTTTTTTCTCAAGATTTCTACAACAAAATAATATTAAAGGAAAAACTTACCCAATAACAAAAGCTGATATGGAGGTTCCTATCAAAGCATACATGAGAATTGCACCTAGATTTCTGAAGAAGTATCTCTGTAAAAATTTGATTATCAAAGAGTTATAAATAGGAATCGCATTGTGTATATTCCATTATTATCACTTACCAACAAAGAAATAAGCAGATCAATGTACTTACACGCTTCAAACTATATCCAGCATGAAAGATAATGGGAGGCAATATGATATTGAAAAATATTTCAGGATCGAAAGTCGCCTGCAACAACAACCATTATATCTATTAAATGACAAAAAAAATAAATTACTTTAAAAGCAAAATAACTTCAAGTTTAATGTAACAATTATCTAGTTTTGTTTAAAAATCAATAAACCAAATTAGCTAAGTCTATCAAAAATAAATTTTATCAACAAAAAAAACACCGAATTTGATGTAAATTCTGTTAAATTCAATGTCACCAAATTGGAGCCAGGTATAAAACAAAAATTGCTAACGTAACATGAGAATAAATTGGCAAAACTATGCAAAACTTGATGACAACCTGATAGTAAAAAATTGATCATAACCAAAACCAACCAAAACTTTACTCAATTTTTGCTACCAATGTTCTGTTTGATACACTAGTAAAACTTATTGCTGGTACAGATGGCACCGAATTTGTTACCAAATGACTGAGAATGAGTTTGATGTCAATATGTCAACAATTTACTATCAATTTGCTGAAAATTTTTTTTGAACAAATGATGAAACTTTTTATCTTATGAAGAACTCAATCACCTTCAAATCTATTTCATTATCTTCCTTGTAAATTTCGCCACGAAACGAGTACGCGAATGTTTTGTTCTTTACGACACCACCACCCTTATCTTCCGGGAAACGTAACCATAGCGTGTCCGGTGGTACAGACTGATTGTATTTACTGGAGTTATCTGGAACCACCGGCATATGCAGGATGGTGCTGCTCGTTGTGAAACCATAGCGTATTATCGCTCCTATAATTAAGCCTGTAACAAGCAGTTTTATCCTAAATAAATACAATAATCTTGCAATTGTATCCCAAATAAACAGATTTATCAAGCATGTTATCAGAGCAGTGATAATTAAAATTATATCTAAGAATATGTTTTAATGATACATTTAATTTAATTTCAGATTCTAAAATAAGAATAATATGAGGTATAAAATCATTCATAAAATTTTATTATAAAAGTCTTGAAAATTAAGAAACAAATAAACAAATTTTATTCATTGTTATCAAACTAAAATTAACTCTAAATATTTAAGAAAAACAATAAAATACATAACTATATTAAGATTTTCTAAGAAACTTATTATTTCATAACTGTTTTATAAGAACTTCACAAATGTTAATCTCATAAAAATGCTTTTGTATTATTAAGGTGACCCTACATGATCAATAATACTGATCAGTAATGCTGTATCAGTAATACCGACAATATGCATCAATAGTATTTTTACACCCTTATACATGATCAGTATTATTGATAATATATTTCACTTTAATTTTATGTATATTATCTATTGCATGGTGACATACTGTAACATGAATCCTAATACAAATGATTCTGTTGCTTGAAAACCAAGATTCAGACATTGTCAGTATTCTATGTCAATCCATCAATATTAACCACATATGATCAGTAATATTGTCAGTATTTGTTAATATATTATTAACAAATACTGACAGTATTACTGATCATGTAAGGTCACCTTTACATTATACTATTAGATTATTAATAATGTTATAATCACAAACTTTTATAACTAGACTCTCATTTCAATTATTTTGCAAAAAAAATCTGTGGTTATAATTAATTTCGTATAGTTAATTTATAACATAAAAGAAAAGATAACTAAAGAAAAAATCGAAAGTTGAGGCAAGGATGTTGCAACGTATGCGAGTTAGATAATGTGTAAAATTTGCAAGTTGTTGTTCCATAAATAGATGAAGATTCAGTGAACGTGGCATGTGTCTTTGGTAACGTATCTTGTGCAATTTGCTAATGTCATTCACACACGTGCGCTAAAAAAAAAAAGAAAACACTGAAAATTGTTGATAGCAGACGATTCTTACCGTAAATGACAGCCAGCCCAGTTTCATGGAGGAACCTCAAGCGGCGGTGCTTGAACATCCATATCGTTAAAACGGTTAAAATCAATAGGAACGTGTAAAGCAAGAGATTGAGACTGTCGAGCCGATGCAACAACTGAGCCTTGGCATCCAATTTGATGTCCGTCGCCGCGCCATTGCATAGTTTCAAGAGAAAAGTACACGAAACTCCTACGAGCAGGAGACGTACGCCGCCATTCGCCGCCATCTTCGATCAACGTCGGGCGACGTTCCGCGCGCGCGAGGAAAAGATGAGTCACACATGCACTTGCACACATATAAACATACTCTATGCACGCATTTGCAATAATTGCAATAGTGCAATGGCATTGAAGGTGATCGAAAGCGTCAAATTGTGAAATTGAAGCCCGGTTTTTACTAATACAAGATTAATTTTATAATCTAGGTTTAATTTTTACTTTTTATCCTTTCCTATAATTCTATGCGAATTAGAAAAAGATAAACAATGAGTTAAACAGAAATTAAAGTTAATTTTGGTACATTTGTGGATTCCGTTCGTAGTAAAAGCTTTTTTCGAATGTACTGGTAGCTATCCAAATAATTAATTGGCACATAAAACTTGCAAATTGTAAACTTGAGTCTGTTTCCGATTTTTAAATATATAATATACTTAAAACAGATCAACAATTGGTAAGTATGTGGAAACTTTACCAACCGTCGGTAAGTGATTAACAATTTAAAAAATTATTTTAAGACTTGTGAGCGTGCAACGCGACAAACCCCCAAAATAGAGTGGATATAAAAAAAGAGTGCGCTAAATGCCAATGCATATGCATGTGCCTCTAAGCCCGTATCATACTACGGATTGTTACAATCATGTGATAAAATGTTCTTAAATATTGTGGCAAATAAGTTTTATAAAAATAAAAACTTGCTTAAAACGTAAAATTTTTTAATGAAATAAAAATAATTCTTTGTACAGAAGAGAAACATGTTTAATAAATAACTTTATGCTCCTACAGTCTTAATAACATGTATTAAAAAGTATAAATATTTTTTCATTTTAAGTAGTATTTCTTAATTCTTCTCTCGCTCATTTATTTTAAATATTTTTTGTCTATATCGTTTAGATTTTAGAATATACATACATATATATACATAAGAGAAAGAAAATAAAAAAAAGAAAGGAAGAACCGAATAAATGTATGAGTGCATTGAATCAATTGATAATTTAATGCACCGTAAGATAAATATATTATTCTTAAATAAGAACGAAAGGAGATAACTAAGATAAGAGTTGCCTTTAATTTATAATCTCCTATAATTATCACGTTGCTGAGATGAAGATCCCGATGTTAGTGTTGAATAAATAAATGGCAAAATGGAGGCTAATGCTAAACAGAGACCAATAACTGGTCGATACCACACCCAAGCGAAACTAATCACCAATAAACTGATAGACATAGAGACTAACATAGTCAGAGACTCGACTGCAATTATACTGCAAAGAAACGTTGAATTTAGTATAATCGTCTTTAATATATTTGCTAAGCACGTTGCTGCCACAAACAAGACCAACCATCCGAGTCCTCTACAACAAAAATAATGTGATTTAAATTATTTAAAGATCAAGTGGTTGAGTTAAAAATAAAAATAAGAAGAAGGAGCATATACCACACGCTGGTTAAAAGTAGCGAAAATTTCGTATATTTAATACTACTAAATTTACATAATTATAATAAACGTTTCGGTTATTAATGTGACCATCTTCAGTATAAAAAAATTTAGGGAATTAAATTATAAATTTTTTTATACTGAAGATGGTCACATTAATGACCGAAACGTTTATTATAATTATGTAAATTTAGTAGTATTAAATATACGAAATTTTCGCTACTTTTAACCAGCGTGTGGTATATGCTCCTTCTTCTTATTTTTAATGTGATTTAACTATTAATATATATTTTATGATATATATTTCATATATTCTTTTTAATAATAATATACATACAACAAAAGTAATTAAAAATTATATTTAATTCGTTCTTCGAATGTATCGATCGACAAGTATTTACATTTATTTTTATCTAAAATAGTTGTTTCTATATAGAAATTACCTAACGATCCAAGTTCGCCAGTAATTATGCACATGTTCCAAATGGAACATCTGATTCACCGACATTTTATGCTTTCGCTGAAGCAAAATTTCTTCACCATGAGACGTGTAATATGGTTTAATGGTGTTTTTTTCCAACAAGCCAACTACCGAATAAACATCTCCGTTTTTTCCTGCGTAGGAAAATTGTATTCTGATGTCTCCCACCTATAAGCAAAGCAAGCTAAATTAGAAATAGCTCTATTAGATATAAATAAGAAGTCAAAATAAAAGTTTTTAAGTACAATACAAATTGAATGATGAATGTCTATCCACAGAGAAATTCCAATAGTTTTCTACAAATTTGACAGAATGGAAAAATGTCTTTTCTGAAAGAAATTTTTAGAAATTTTGTCTTGAACTTTGTAATCAAATAAATCCTAAATTCTAAAAAAAATCCTTAATTCTAAATATAATCCTATATATTCTTGTGTTTAGGAAAAAAAAACTTTTCGCAATGACATACTTGAGGATTCCACAAATCTGCACTGTGGTAATACAATCCAGAATGCATCTTAATATTCTTTCGCTCTGGTCTCTCATCACTGGTGATCTCTACAAAATCGCTGAATTTTTTCTTCAATTCCATGCCAAGCATGTAAGCACCGATCTTTACTTCATCTGCAATCTGCACCTGGCTCTTGATTGGTATTTCCTTTGGATTGTGATGACCTGTACGAATGTAAAAGTGATCTGAATCCACGAGTTTGTCCTTCCATTCTGTCGTGTAGTAATAGTATTTATCGCCTTCTGTTATTTCACCGAAACTGAAAACAATGATTTAATATATTTAATATATTAAATCTTGCAGTGCAATACAGTATCTTTAAGACAAAATGACAAAGATAACTGTCTCTTATTCTTATCACTACCTTGGTTCTTCCTCGATTTCAACCCATTGATACATCTGAACCCTTCTCTTCAGCTTCACGCTTGACATGACAATTCCATAATTTGGCTCTGTTAACGGTTCGGAGACTTGTAAGACACCTGATAGATGTATCAAGCAGCCCTCATATTCAGGTGATAACATCCTTGAATTAGGAAGCACAACAACATTGCGTAAAGCTTCGTTCAAGGAATGTGCTACTTTAACGGCTCTTCCCTGAAAGGACTCGAAATGCTTACATGCCTCAAATTTTGTCCCAAATTAAGGATATGGTTTTAAATTGTCTTTTTTTTTAAGTATAAAAATAAAATAAGCGTGAAATATAACTAATGGAATTTTTTAATTTAAAAACCACAAATATTATTTATAAAATTTTAGTAGAATAATAATTTTAAAAAGTAAAATATGATCTCATGACTAGATATAACTTTTGTTATGCTCTCGTGTTATACATTAAGTATTATTTAGTTATTTATAAATATAACACTGTTTATGTGTTTTATTAACAATTATAAAAAATATTTATTACAATTTAATTACGATTGACACTAAAAAAATGTCTTTCTCTTAAACAAATTCATATGACAGAAAGTATTACTCGCAAACCTCATTCCAAAATAGAAGACACATTCCAGTAGCAAACATGATGAACCCGATTATCGCTGTCAGCCATGACTGCCTGAATTGTTCCGAGATCGTCATCGGCATTTGATTTGTAGAGGTGGCTTGTCTTCCATTCAGACAATTCTGACGAAGTCGATCCATGTTTCCTCTTTGCTGACCATTTTGCTACAAAGTTTACACTCCGAGAGTCTATCTCACATCTCAATAATTATAACATAAAACATAAATATAATGCTCACATATACAAGGCAAAGGAAATATACATACATTCATGCGATACATCCTGACATCAGCGGTATTCTTGGAATGACAAGTGTGATGCTTTACACAGTTTTACGTAGTTTTACGGTTTAGTGGACATTTAAACCAGCATAGCGAAGATTCAAACCTATTTAGCAAAGACTCAAACCCCATTAAATTAAATTTGATTCTGTTGGTAATAAAATTCTCTGTAAATGATTCTTTGTTTGAGGTTATATTCATAATAATAACTGAGCCGTTTGTTTTGCTCTGAAATATTTATTTAAATAATACTAAAAGAAGTTCTAGTATTTCACAGCATAATGTCAACACGATTGTAAGTATCCGCAATATTTAATGCAATAATTAGATAATATAATAATCTTGACAAATTTTAACTTTAAAAGCGATAAATATAACCCTCTAATCCTATTTTAATTCATTAATTATATTTTATATAAATTATTGAATTTTGTTTATATGATTTTTAATTGATACTATATTTTTAGTTATCCCATATATCAAAGAGGCAATCCACAATTAAGAGTTTTCCTACCGAATTTTTGGATGAAGTTAATTACGCCTATAGATCAGCAGCCTCTGAACGTTGTACAGTTTCACTGTTCTATGGAAATGACCAAATACGACATAAAGAATTATTTGGAGAAAATTTACAATGTCAATGTAATTAATGTAAGGACAAGAATACAGATGGGTAGGCTTACGAGGGATCGACTGCAGCATTCAGTCATTAAGGAGGACGACAAGAAAATAGCTTATGTTGTGCTGGTTAGATTGCAACTATTTTCTAGTTTCTTTTTATAAAAAGGAATTTAGGATTTTAAAACTGTTCATTTCTTGTAGCCAAAGGATCAGTCATTTGTGTTTCCTGATATGTTCAAGAATGTAAAAGATGAACTTGATAAAGAAACTATGGACTTAGCTAAAAAGGAAATGCAAAATTTCTTAAGACCTAACAAAGCTCCTGGATTACCTGGTTGGTTTAGGATGTAATGTGTATGTATGTTGGTATTTAAGAATTTATAACCAATAAAACACTTGTTATTATTCTTAGTATTGTTTAACTTCCTGAACAGTCACAATTTTTAAATTATTTACAATCTGGAGAACTTTTCTATAATCTTTTGTACATAGGATTTTGTTAATGCTAAGACTAATAAGAAATCTATTTTTAAATATATACTGTATATTTAATTTTGTAATAAAATACTTTTTATATATAATACTTTAATTAATTATATATAATACTTTAATTAATTCTGTAATAAAATCATTTTATTACAAAATTAACAAATTATATATAAATTAAAACATTAAATTATGAATGGTGGTTTTCCATTAATTACAGCTGATACTTTTTCGTTCCTCAAGATCGTCACATGATTACCTTCAATGTAATGTACTTTCACTTTGTTGTGAGTTACCTTAAATAATTGTATATTTCATTAATCAAAAATTTGTATAATTTGACTTATTCAATACAGAGAATAATGCAAATTTTTTTGATACCTTGTGCAAACAATAATCCTCTTCAATTGGTATATTCAATGGTTGTGTAGGTTTTAGCAAAGTTATGGAAGATTTAATAGGTGTCAAGGTAGAAGGATTGTATTGCCGAACAGCTGCTAAATGTTTATAAATTGTTGTACATAGCGTTTTTAAATTTGCAAGTGAAAGTGATGTGTTCATAATTAAGAACTGTTGGGCAAAAATATTATATCTTTCGTCCCAAGTTTCACAATGATTCAATTCCATTAGAATCTATAAAATTATATATATTTTTAATATGTGTGCAAGAACATAGGAAAGAATAAAAAGTCCAAGAAGAAAATTATACCTTTTTACTATTTCCTGGTGAATAAATTTCCATAATATGAGTTAGAACATAAATCTGAAGATCTAGTTCAGAACTTGGCATATAACATTTGTATATCATTCGTATTAGTTCAGGAGCCCCATCAATAAGAATTAATCGGCCTTTAAAATTCATAGTCTCTAATCTTCTTGTTAACTCAATTGCAATAAGAGATCCAAAGGAGAATCCTACCATTATAAAATCTTTTCCATTTTTCAGCTTTGGTATTATGTACTGTAAATATATAAAAGTATCCAATGTGAACTTGATGTCCCTCTCAAATAAGAACAATATATTCATCAATATTATAATACGAATTACGGTTCAGTACCTTCATGAGATGATCAGTTTTCTCTGATATAATGTTTGTAGGAGCATCAATGTTGCTTGTATTATAATGGAAGGACGTTGTTGAAAATAAAATCTTTGGTGCTAAATAATTAAATGTAGTTCCACATCCTTCAATACCCGGTATAAGAAATACTTCAGTTGTAGTTCCTTTAGTCGAGAAAGTGGAACAAGTTTGTGAAATATAGTCTTCATTCTTTATACCAAGAATTAAATATGCTAAACTAAATTGTGGCTTCTCTGTGTTGAATTTTTTTTTATTATGCATATTATTGTCACTGATGTTTGTAGACATTTCAGTGAGTTTTGCAAAAGTAAGATTTCGTATCTCTTGTGTTGTGAGAAGAATATCAAACTTTCGTTGTAGAGTTTGCCTGATATCCACGGCCATCATGGAGTCCATTCCAAGTTCGGCCAGAGATGAAATTTGACTTACGAATCTCATGTCACGTATGTCTGTAATATAAAATAGGTTATTATAATTTATATTGTAATATATCCTTCATAAAAAAAATTGATTTAGTAAAAAAATATATATATATTACTAAATCAATTTTTTATAATATATGCATATAGGGACACCTACCTAAAATATTAGCGACAGTTTCTACTAGATTGCCAAATTCGGAAGACTTTGTTTTTTTGTCGGCTACAATCATGCTGCTTACAATTGGCCGGCTTTGAAGTAAAAACTTATCGAGCTCGTCAAGACAACAAGATATCTTTTGTTGTAAGGTGCCACTGATAATTAATTCCTTATCGTCCTCTTGCATGTCAGCGACAAGACCAACTTCACTCACAGCCCCCCATTGAATCGCCAATCCAGGTAATCCTTCCTTCATCCTTTTTTCGCAAATTCTTTCCATAATGGAGTTGGCCATGCCGTAATTAGTTTGTCCAGCGTTTCCTCTGCCGCAGGAAACGGAAGAGAACATTACGAAATGTCGTAGATTAAGGCAAATTTTTCTAGAAAGTTTGTCAAATGTTTGAGATGCTCGAGCCTTTGACAAGAAGGATTCCGCAAAAGTTGTCTCGGTTTGATTCTTCAAGAGGCTGTCCTTGAGCACCACACCGAGATTAAATATTGCATCCACCGGTGCTTCTTTTTCCACTGTTCGTAAGAGACGTTCACAGTCTTTGATGTTAGCAACATCGATATTTTTGATGATCAGAACTTTTACACCATATGACTTCCACAATTGAACTTTCATGCGCTGATAACCGTTTTTTATTCCAGTTCGTGAAATTAAAACGACATTTTTAGCGCCGCGAAGTATAAGCCAGTCGGTTAGCTCTAATCCAAATCCACCCAGACCTCCTAGTATAATGTAACTTCTATTTCTGAGACAATAATAGCGACGATACGCGAGAATGTGTTTATCTAAAGGTTCACTCTTCTCATGGATATTTATTATTACCTATACAAAGAATTATATTAAGAATTCATATTATACGTGATAGAAATTTAAGTAAAATTGTTATTTGTACATATAATAGTATCTGCTACTAATAACTAGTACAGGCATACCTTTCCTATATGTTTTCCACTTGCCATATACCTAAAAGCTTCTTTTATTGTTGTTTTAGAGAATGCTGTTGCTTGAATTGGTTTGATGGTTCCATTCTTAAGACCATCGGTTATCATATTGGATAATAGGGATTTATATTTATGTTTTTTATTACTTATTAAATTATCGATTAAAATCCCATAAAAACTAATACCTTTTTGAAATTCGGACATACTAAGAGAATTGTTAGATATAAAATCAAATTTGCCAAGCTCTAGAAAATAACCGTTTTGCGCTAAACAACGAACAGACACAATTAATTTTTCTTCTGCCAATGAATTTAATACAACGTCGACTCCGCGACCTTTCGTTTGCTGCATTATCATTTGTTCAAAACTAGTGTCTCGAGAATTTCCAATGTGATCATCCAAAATATTCGGAAATGTTTTTCTAATAAAATCTCGTTTATTACTCGTGCCTACGGTAGTAAATACTTCGCATCCTTCTTTAAGAGCGACATGAATAGCTGCTTGTCCAACGGCACCAGTACCAGAATGTATAAGTATTTTATCACCTTTCTTCATTCTTCCATAAATATATAAGGCCATGTAAACAGTAATGTAAGCGCAGGGGACCGTCGCGGCCTCTTCGAATGTCCATGTGTCCGGTATTTCCCAACACAGATTTTTATCTTTTACAATGACGTTTGCTATACAGCTGAAAAGAATAATTTTAATTCAGTTTCATTTTTACACAACGTACTTATTTTATAGATTATTTACTCAGTTTCACGAATTCCCATCACACGTTGCCCATTAGCATCCCATCCAACGTATTCCATTCCTAGAGGACAATATTGATATAACCGCCCTTTCAAGGGCATCTGATTGGATGTTAATTTACCAGTCGTAAGCAATATATCTTTGAAATTCAGAGATGAGCAAACAATATTCACTAAATCCTCACGACGAGCCTCAGCCGATCGATTATTCTCTACCCAACAAAGTGTACTTAGATCAGCACGAACCTATAGTAAATATTTCATATCATAACATCTCATGTATACAAAACTGTATGACAGCATTTAAAATAAGAGATACATAATATTATTATACAATAGCAACTATAATATGTTTTGAAAAGGTTTATATGTACCGATTGACAGAGATGAGCGCTAAGTACAGGACTGGCTTCGGGTTGTGGTAATTTCAAATGTCTGTATGATCCCCAGGTTTTATTAGATCGCAATACATTAATGGTCATATCTTTTTCTAATTGATCTACATAAAAAGGATTTTGAAGAGAGAATTCAGGAGCTTCTTCATCTTGAATGAGCACACCTCTAACAAGTTCTCCGCCTGGCTCTTTTTTCAAGCAGTTAATAAAACCTAATAAACCGCATTCCAAATCTTTCTCTCCAACAATTATGATTCTACTATTCTTATCGAGATTGTTCTCATTGGTCACAAGCGGCTTTAGATTTTCTAGCCAATTGAAGTTATCATTACTTATGTAGACAATAATCCTTTTTTTAATCAAAACTTTCTTTTTCAGAAGCACAATTATTTCTTTATCAGTGCATTTTTCAAGAACAACATCTAGCTGGTATTGATGTAAATATTTCGTATAGTCAATTACGTCATATCTTTCACGCGTCAACAGGTAACCACCTTCTCTCAAAAATGGCAATAGTCGCTTTAACGATGTTTGTTGTTTGGTCAAAAGATTGAAGCCTGCAGCTATTAAAGCTTTGTCATCCAAAGACGGTTTTTCAAAATCTTCGATCGAAAAGTTTTGCAATAAGTCTTTTGGCCTGAAACGATTCGGTGATGTTAATAGAGTGACACTCGTTTGTATTAATGGCATATCGTTAAATGCTTCAAGCAGCAATGAAGATGAGAGATATTCTAATGCAACATTATCTTCATCTTCCACTAGCTCCACAGCTTTCACATTGATAATTTGATGATCTTCCAGAGCAAGTTGTGCTGATATACGAATTGCTTCGTTTAAAGGAATCTTAGCGCGATCACAGTGAGCTACGAACGTGTATTCCTCAAGAACAGCATCTTGGGTTAAATTCCGGCGATATATTTGTGTAGATCTAAGACCTCGTATCTCTATTCCACCAGCTTTAATTGTGTCTATATCTTTATATATTCGTATCGGAATTGCTGTAATAATACGCTTTATGTTATAGAGATTTCTTATATATTTATATATACATATGTAATGAACAAATAACTCTTATTATCAGTAAATGAAGAACAATTACATTTATCAACGTCCGTTGTAACTTCTTCATCGTCCTTCTTGCCCTGTATCTTCAAAGCGTGAAGCATTGGATTGATCACTATTTTCTGAATACTTGTTGGAATATACAGATCTCTAGTATCGTATTCGATATATTTCATCTGTAACATAGAGTCCATAAATGTTACCCAATTATTTCTCCAAATAGTATGCCCTTTTTCACCCGATAGAGATGCACTCTTCAATCCACGAAACCAATCGCTGTAGTGATATCCACGCAATTTTAACTCCTTGTAGATATCATGTGCAGTCATGAGTTCTTCTTCATCATTATTTTTCGGTAATAGATCTGTCGAAATCATTTCTTGTTCTGGATTTAATGTTTCGTATACTATACCTGTTACAATAACGCTATTTCCTTCGGTTATTTCAAACTTTCCATCTGTAATATTTTTACATACTTATTTATGATTATGCTACTTTATGCATTTTTATGATTATACTATTTTGAATTTAGTTAATACCTTTCTGTATTGCAATTTTCAAATTAACAGCCTCATTCTTCGACAAATGAGTAGCACGAATAAAGTTTACATCTTGGAAAACTATCGATATTGTTGTGTATATTTGCCCTTTTATCATGCCAACAGTTTGCCAAACAAGTGCAAGATAACTTGTTGCAGGTAATACATTGTGTCCATCAACTACATGACCGTTCATATAATCATAATCCTCATTGTTAAGTAAAATTTCAACATACCTTTCTCTGCATTTTATGGACTTTTGTGTTTCATATTTTGGTATAAACCAATCTTTGGAATGATCCCATCTAACGAAACGAGTTAAAAGGATAACATATATGTTTTATTATAACTTTTTAATTTTTGATAAGGTGCGAGAAAATTACAAGCATTCCCGAACACATACTTATGAACAATGCGGTATATGTATGTATATGTATTTATATATCTTATATGAACAGCAATTAGATTACAATTCTTTGTACCTGATTGATGGAGAAATCATAGCAGTTCCTCTGCTCACTGGATATTCCACTGATGGATACAAATTTGCAACTTGCGGCTGTAGTCCACTGTTGTAGAGCCTTCCAATTCCTTGAAAAGTTACATTGTTGTTTTGTTCAGTGCGTTGAGTCAATACAATGTTCGTCACTTCTGGATGCAAAGATTCTTTCAATATGTGCTGCAGAACGCCGCATGGTGCGAGTTCGATAGTAATAGCGTTACTCGGAATTAGATGTAATGTTTGTTCAAAGAGAACGGTGTTTAATATACTACGCAAATGATAGTCCGCCGATGATAATTTTGATGTTGAATTGACCCATTCGATACGAGGTATGGAAGTGCTGAACCATTTTTGGCTTCGTTTCTTCGGCCAGGGTATTATTTTCTTTAAATTAAGCAAAAGTTGAGTTTCCGTGGATGCAAGATACGAACTGTGATACGGTACGTTGCAGTAGATCTCCTTTACATAAATGTTGTTCGTCTAATAATGCAAAAATACAACACATGCGGCTAATTGTATCTTGAGATTAACAATTCGATATTTTAATAACTATTAAGTAATTTTTTTCATTTAATTATAAAATATAAGTTCTATTTTCAAATCTACCTGTAATTTTTTAATAAATTCTTTTATTGATTCTGTGGGTCCACTAACGATGCTGTTATTCTCGTTATTACGACATACTATTTGAATATCCGCTGGACATATATTTTTCAGAGAATCGTAATCAATTCTGACAACCACCATTGAGCTATGAATTATTTTTCCTTTGGCACATGCCAAACCGACAAAGTATGCAGATAAAATCGTTTGTTCAATGGTAAGACATTTATCTGCATATGCACAACCAAGTTCACCTCCAGAATGACTAATCATGTAATCCGGAATAATTCCTAAGGAAGTCAGAAGATCTACTAAGCCGACCTACAAATATATGTCGTTTATAACTGGGCATTGTATATGTATATTAAAATGTTTAATATTATTGAAAAAAAAATAATATTAAGTTGTAATAAGGTAAATTTAGCAAGATATTAGATCTGATGGAGGGAAATAACCGTATTTAAATATTGATTTATGTTTTTTACTAACAATATAATTGATACTATAATGCATGTTAAAAATATAATACTTCACCTGTATAACGATGATTCCAAGAAACGCGTTTAATGCGTTTTCGTGCACTTTTTCTTCTGTATTTGTTAGAATGTCCTTAATGTTTATACCATACGGTTTTAAAATATTGTCGCATTTGCTTATTGTTTTTGCAAAAACGTGAAATTTTAATAAGTTTCGACCTGATAAAGTTTCATTGAAAGAATTACATTATTTTACTATTTAAATCTTCGTAAAGATATAAATTATTGAATTTTAAATATATACCCATTCCTGGCCATTGCGAACCTAAAGCTGAAAATACGAAGCAGACGGGTCTCTTCAAGTTATTACAATTTTTAATTTCTTTTACTACATCTTGTTGCAAAGTGTTCAATACAGCGTACCCTCTCCATGAATGATTGTCTATATTGTCTGCATAGACGTCATGTAATAAACGGATATATTCTACATCTATCGGACGATTAGCAATCTATAACGATCAATTTTTTGAAATAGAAACTATGATAATATAATTGTGCAAAATAATATCGCAGTAGCTTTCCAAATATCTACTAACATCATTTAAAAACAATTTCACTGATTCCTCAGTACGTCCAGATAATATTACAAGTCTAGGCAAATCATTATTTGGTGTTCCATTATTAACTTTCTGTTTACGATTCCACTTTAATAGCATATGAGCGTTGGCTCCTCCAAAACCGAAAGAATTTATTCCTATATAACCGTTTTTAATTGGCATTGGTTCTTGGACGACACAAACACTTCCATTTAGCAAAGCATCAATATTTTTCCTTGGTGATGTAAAATTGATATTTGGTGGAACAAAACCAGTTTCGAAGGCTATTATTGTCTTTAAAAAGTAAAGTTAGCTTTGTAATACAAAGGAGAGTGTAAGAATGTGTGAGACTAATAATTTAACAAAAATATCAAATTCACATGTGTTGTACATATTTTGTAATGTAGTTTATTATTTCAATAATTCTCTCTGCATTTTGTAATATTATAAATATTATTTTTCACTTTTATATGTACATTAAAAAATACTGAAATTTGTTTTTTATGTATTAATCAATTTTGAACATCTTTTTACATTGTACTTTAAGCTAGTTTAGATATGAAATTAATATTGTGACACATATAAACTATATAGTCATTACGCGAGTTCAAGACGGCAAAGTGGCTAAGCATGCTTACCGAGCGATTGAATATGATTGTTTGGCTCTATAACAATCAATTATGTTCACTTGCCATGGCGAAAATTTTTAGTGAGATATTGTTTATACTTGTTTAGATAGTGTTTTATCGATGGTTATATTGTTTTTATGAAGAGTTTTATTGATGGTTACGTTACTGAAGATTGTTTATGAAGTTTTACTGATATTTTGAAACACTGTTTTTAAAGCACAATTTTTTAAAACGTAATCGTGAATATCTCTTAAACAATTCCATGTTTAAATTTTCATTTCATAAACAGTTCATAAACTCTTTAAAATTCAAATGAAACATCTACTCAACATTTAAGCAAGCTTCTTATAAACTTTTAATAAACATATTATTTTCGTCAAGGTGCTCGGTGAGCAGGTTATATCTGCTTTGTCAACTTGAACGCGCCCATTACTTAACAGTTATGTACCGTATTTGTCACTACATTAATTTCAATGATAATTGAATTTAATAAATGATTCTCGCAATACTATTTATTAATTTTATATAGACATTATCGTGACTTTTCAAATAATTTTTATAAAATAATAAATCTAACATAATATTTAATATTAAATCTCATAAAACTATACACGTAATAAACATAATCAATAACAAATAATGGCTTTAACGGTCTTTAGCTGTATCTCAGATGCTTGTATAATTCCGTGTAATTTAATATGTATTATATACCTCTTTGAACTGCGCGCCGAACAATTTGTTGATCTCGAAACGCAAACTTTACTAAATTACAGCAGCAATATCATGAGTTAAATTGACTAGCAATTTAACAATTCTATACTCTTTACGCATCTTACAATTAGAACGATATATATGTATCTATAAGTTTCAGCTAGACCGTTATAAAGGCATTATTTCTTATTGATTGTGAATAAGTCTTATGTTTGTGTGTGTATATTTTATACATATATATATATATAATATATATACATATACGAGTATATGATGAAATAAAAGCAAATTCTATATATAATGATAAATAAAAATAGCAGTCACACTTGTTTTACCTTAGCGATTTGAATAAAAGCACTGGCAGGTTCACCATGACCAAGATTGGATTTTACAGAGCCGATCATCAATGGAGTTTTTCTGTTTTTACATAAACTGTTATAAATAGCTTTGACTTCCTGTGGATCACCAACTTTGGTACCGGTACCATGCGCTTCAATGTAATCCAAGCAAGTGGTCGGTATTCCGCACTCCTTGTAACATTCTTTTAGTAAAGCACTTTGCATTAGCAAGGATGGATGTGTTATTCCTTCTTCTTTGTAACCGTCGCTGTTTAATTTTATATGCGGACATATAGCATAAATTCTCTTCGCATTTTTCGCCTTTTGAAGGTATATTACTACAATTGCTTCGCTACGCGAATAACCATTTCCAGCGGAATCGAAAGGTCTGCAATAGCCCTCAGGTGATAAAACACCTGTAAAGTATAAAATACTGTTTGTAATATATTATGCATATAAGTATACGATATACGTTTTTAGTATATTCGGCATTATTAAATTAATTTGCGTTTAAAGAATTAAATGATTATCATTTTTATTTCCGATAAAGTAATATTCTATTTTGACAAATTTTATAAATGTTTTATCGAGATTATGCATTTCGTTAAAATTTATTTATTTATTATGAATGAGAAACGTGCAGACCACTAAATCTTACGTGTTACGTGGTAAAGTAAGTAGATTAATAAGTTTTAAGTAAAAATATTCAATAATCAATAAATTTTAATATAAAAATACCAAGACGAGCGAATTGCAGGGTAAGAATCGGATGCAAACATAGATTTCCAGCTCCAATTATAGCGTCTTCGCATTTTCCTGACATAATACAATGATAACCAAGGGCCATGGCATAAAGACTAGAACTGCATGCCGTATCGACGGTGTATGATGGTCCTTTTAGATCCAAACAGTACGAAATCATATTTGCCACTGTAGATTTGCTACATCCAACGATTTGAAAACTGTCTAACTACAAAACATTAACGTTTACAAATGCATTTGAATATTAATTCCTTTTTTACTTATGTATGATGAATTACTAAGAATATTAGGTACTATTACTTCTCTAAAATAAAATGAAGTATATAATTTTTATTTGTTAGAATCCATTTAGTATCGAAAATAATATTTTATATGATAAAATTATAACAATGATTAAATAAAGGTCAAATGACGGTCAAGCAAGCAAGATTTAGGTTGCTACAGTAATGTGTGAATTTATTTACCACGTATGTAGTTTTCTTTAATCGTGCGCCGAAATATTTTCAGACTTTTTACAAACGCAACTCTAAATAACTACCGTAGTAATATCACTCGTTAAATTGACAACGTAATCTAACAATATTTGATGCTTATAGCATCTTATTGGATCTTAATAATATGTTAAAAGACATATATTAAAATTTAACGATTTGTTATTAATTAATGTAAATTAAATTAATAATAAATCAAATTCTGTGAAAAATAAGATTACGAAGAATATCACAAGTTGGCGTTTCGTCCCGGTTTCCACTACTAGACTCATATTGTAATGATAAAATTATGTTTTTTCTAAATTGAATAACTTCAAAGATTTGAAGATCATTGTCTTTGATTTTTTTAATTGGTGTATTGTATAATTTTTATAAGTTTGAAAAGAAAATGAGTTTGTTATCACTACATTATTCTCGTAATTATAAAAATTTTAGTAAGCATTAACAGATGAACTCTAATAATTTTTCATAAATACTTTCAACAGTGGCAACGATCAAACTTTTACGAAAGAAAACAATCGTTGAGTTCATAAGACGTAACAGTCAGAATAATCTGTAATCCTTTGGTGATTCCTTTTGTATGGATATATCTATAATTTTCTTTACCTGATAATTCTCGTATAGCAATTTCCCTTGGGCTTCGATATAAGATGTGCCTATGATTACAGCAGTATTCTTTCCTCGTAATTGCTTTGGATTAATTCCCGCATCGATAATTGCTTCATAAGAATGTTCCAGTAACATTCTTCCTTCGGGTAGAAGTGTGTGTGCTTGCTTGAAAGATAATCCAAAGAAATCCGCATCAAATTTTTCTAAGTTGTTTATTATTCCAATTCGTGTTGGTAAGTCCAATTGCTCTAATAAAAGATAGATGTTTTTACATAAATATATTATATTACTTTTTTATTTTTTTTTTAGATGAAACTTTAGTTTAAAGTACTTCTTTACCAAATAAATATGTAATTACATTTAGTGTAGAAGAAATAGCATATTATATTTTCAATCAATTATATATAAATGTAAAAATATAATATATAACTATAAATTTGAATTTTTACCTTTTTCCCATCGCCCATGGTCTGATTTAACGAGATCGATTTTATTGAATAAGTTTTCTCGTAAATGATTCATGTTATCTGAATCAGGAAACCTGCCAGCAATACCTGATATAACGATCTCCTCATCGGAATCAATATTATTCAACGATCTAAATCCTTCTTTGCCATCCATAATTTTTATTATTTTTCAGATAATCTAAAATGCTATGTGTATTTTATGTGGTTATTTTGTTTTCTTATTCTATCATTTATACCTGATTTTGATATTTATAATATTGCTATAGTATTGTTTGTGTTACAGATAAGAAACGCCTTTAAAGCTTTTCAACGCAACAGTCACTCTTTATATAAACTCAAATGACTCTGTTAATATTAAAATGTTGACTATTAGTGTTGTATACGTTTATACAGAGAAACTTACGCGCCGTCTGACCTATACTGTGACCCAAGCAAGGTCAAACTGTCCAGACAAGAATTGTTTACATTTTAAGCGATTTAATTATTTTCACGATCTGCGTGCCATTCACCGATTAAAATTAATACATATTTTTTGTATAAATAACTATCCTTATTTGATTATTTCTTTTTCTAATTTAAACTATCCCCCTATATATACAATATTTATTTTTTTCTATGAGAAACTCTATGACTGCGTTTTACTTATCGCCCACTCACAACGCTCCTAGAATCATTGCATTCTTATTGCATATTAATAAGGGAGGTTAAGCAACTCAAAAATTCAAAAAATTCTGAAACCTTGTGTGCAAGTAGAGTAGTTCATCCGTAACACAAAACTATTTTCTGTTGGTGCGGAATTTCACTCTAAGGGGGTGAAACACCCCTTTGAAAAAAATAGATTTTTTTCTTTCGAAACGAATATCTTCGAAACTATAAGAGATACAAAAAAATTTCCAATATAAAAATTGAATGGTTTCAAGAGTACTTTAGAAATATAATAAAAAAATTTATTTATTTATTTATTTATTGAATTGAAATAAATAAATAAATAAATACATTTTTTTGTATCTTTTATAGTTTCGAAGATATTCGTTTCAAAAGAAAAAAATCTATTTTTTTTCAAAGGGGTGTTTCACCCCCTTAGAGTGAAATTCCGCACCAACAGAAAATAGTTTTGTGTTACGGATGAACTACTCTACTTGCACACAAGGTTTCAGAATTTTTTGAATTTTTGAGTTGCCTAACCTCCCTTGTAAATATTGAACAAGGACAGTAATTCTCGAAGTTGTTGGAAACGTTATATGGAACGCATTCTATATATATTGTCTATCTTCAAAAATAGTTTAAATTATAGAAGAAACTCTTTATGATCATTAATTTTTTTAAATTAAACAGTGCTATGTTAATTATAACTATACTAAATATAATTCTATTTATTTTAAGTTAAAGAAAATGTTGAGTAAGATGTAAATCATACTTTCAAGCAGTGTTTATTAGAATATTTCTAAAGGAGGATGTTCAAAAGAGGCCGATTTTTGCCTATGAAGATGTAAGTAAAAGGCATAGCGTTTTTTATAGATTTTAATCTCCTGAATACGAAAATGTTAATAAAAAGTTCGGGATCGATAGAAAACATCTTGAAAATTAAGCATGAACATGATATATTAGCAGAATTCGAATACTTTATAGAGCTATCACAAAGTGCATTTGTGTGAGTTTTTTTGAGGAGAAACAGGTGTGTGTGTGTGTGTGTGTGTGTGTGTGTGTGTGTGTGTGTGTGTGTGTGCGCGCGCGCGCGCGCGCGAGCGTGGCTATCCTTTTGTATCTTTTAATCTCGTTCTTTGTCGAATTCGGAATCGTAACGAAATATTGATTCCATGTTTTTATATTTTATAATACTTCTTTATATTTATTATGCTTTATATTTTTGATAAGTATTTAATTCTAAACTTTTGGCCAAAGTACATCTCTTTACAAGCCTACTTCTATTGTGTTTCTATATTATAATTTAAAGAAAAAGAGGGAAAAAAAAGACAAGAAAGATAAGAAAGTATCCTCATCGGGAAATATGTATATGTGGATTTAAAATTTCATGTTTCGAAAATAAAAATTTTATCATATATGAATAATGTATAAAATAGCAATCAATACCTAAGTAGAACAATAGGTCACGATTAAAAACAGTATATTAAGATGAATCGTGCCTTATAATATCAAAACTGACTTTTAACGATCATTTCGTAACTATTTTTTTAATGACTTTTTGTTCTGCGTGAATAATATACTAATGGCATGCATTAATGAGGTAAAAGGTTATTTACTTTTTACTGTAAAGGCTATAGATAAATTATATTGTATAGAATGTAAAAATTGCTTTAATAATGTCTTTTAATATAGTAAATATAGCTTGATGAAGCGCGATCAGTAGCAAACGATTTTATGTTATATTGTCTTTATAGAAAAAAGTAATTTTATTTCATAAATGCAAAAGACTTGCAACATTTAAATATCAAATTTATTTGCTGTTTATAGCATGGTTTTAGTACTTATTATAAAGCTCTGTAATGCAATCCTACAAGAATATCTTTGGTGTTGAGTATATGATAATCATTAAATTATTCTTCCAATCTAATAATAATCAAATTTATAATTTAATTTAAATGTGGCACAGCGGTTGTAAGAAATCTTATGTTGAAGATGGTTTTTTAAATCGAACATTAAAAGATATATTTTTAGATTTACATGAATATGATGTAATTATAGTAGACGTTTTAAATTCAAATTTATTTGTGTATATTTAAAATTCGGATTATTTATATTGTTTAATATTGATAATGATAATTAATATTGATAATTAATTATAGGTCAAAACATCTGTAATTATTTTTATACGAATTGTTTATATTAAATTTACTGATCAAAGTATAATAAATACATATCTTTTTAAAGAATAGAAATATGTAATACATAATAATTTGAACTTTTTTATATCAGGTCGGTTCAAAAGTTTTTGCTAATTTTTTGAAATTTCTTTATTACAGTATATTATATATTAATCAAAATATTTTCCATCGTTTTCAACCACTTTTTTCCATCTTTCCGACAGCATACGGATACCACGTCGAAAAAAGGAATCATCCTGTGAAGCGATCCATTGATCGACATCCCCGGCATTTGAGAAGCGCTCACCAAATAAGCCATGCCATTTTTTTAACCCCTCCGAAAAGTATGATTTGTCTAATTCTACAATATAGGCCCCTGTTTCGGCGATGATCTCCTCATTCGGCATAAATCTCTTTTCACCGAGCCATTTTTTCAAATTTGAAAAGAGAAAGAAGTCATAGAGGTCCAAATCCGGAGAGTAACGGTGGATGCGGCAGCAATTTATAGAGCAATTTAACCAATTTAGCTGTGGCGACTGTAGAAGTGTGAGCCGGTACATTGTGGTGGAATAACACTTTTTTCGCCAAATGGAGCCGTTTTTTCTTCGATTCAACATCGAATTGGTCAAATAAAACAGCATAGTACTGCCCCATGATAATTTTTCCCTTCTCCAAATAGTCGATAAAAATCATGTGTTGTGCATTTCAAAAAACAGTGACCTTTCCGGTCGATGGGACCGTTTTGGCCTTCTTTGGAGCACATACGCGGGATGAAGTCCACTGTTTTGACTGTTCCTTGATCTCCGATGTATAATGATGAATCCATGTTTCATCAACGGTTACGGCTCGACGCGGATTGCTCTTAAACAACTTCAAACACTCTTTAAAAATTGATAGAGCCGCACCTGCTTGTTAAGTCTACCGCGAGCAATCGCGGCACCCATCGGGCCAACAGCTTTTTCATTTCCAAGTTATCATGTAAAATATTGAATACCGTTCCGTACGACACGCCTACAACCTCTGCTACTTTACGTACATATTTTCATTCGGCGATCAGCGAGAATTATGTCGTGGACGTTTTCAACGATTTTCTCAGTAATTTCGGACAAATAGACAATAACATATTCGGAAGGTATGGAAAGGATTATATCCGTTTTATAGAGACATGAATTCAATAAATATTTTCCTTCACATTTGGGAAAAAAATGTAAAATTTGTTTATGCCAAAGTCTACAAGCACTTCTCAAATCACAAAAAAATTCACTGAAGACATAAAAGGATACCGAAACAATTTGAAGTAAAGCGGTATTTGAAGTAAAGAAGTAATTTTGATACGTTGTATATAATGTATGCATTATCCAGTTTATTTTGTGTCAAAATTATTACAACTACAAATTTATACATAAATTTAGATTACTAACTTATATAAACTGAAAAATTAAAATATAAATGGTAGTTCTCCGTTAATTGCAGCTGGTACTTTTTCGTTCATTAACATCGATACATGATTACCTTCAATATAATGTACTTTCACCGTATTTTGAGTTACCTTAAATAATCACATACTTTATTAACCAAAGTTTTGTTAAATTTAATTCATTCAGTATAGATTAACACAAATTTTTTTTAAATACCTTGTGTAAACCATAATCCTCCTCGATTGCTATCATATTTGGATGAGTAGGTTTTAATAACATTATGGGAGTTTTAATAGGTGGTAAAGAAGGATCATATTGCCGAATAGCTACTAAATTGTTATAAATTGTTACACACAACGTTTTTAAATTTGCAGGTGAAAGTGATGTGTTCATAGCTAAAAATTGTTTGGCAAAAATATTATATCTTTCATTCCAAGTCTCACATTTCTTCAGTTCCATTAGAATCTATACCAAATTGTACATTTTGTTTTTATAATATATATAAGACCATATAAAAATTGATATCAATTAGCATAAAAACAATTATATTAAGAATGTAGTGTAAATTAATTTAAAAATCTAAGAAGAAAATTATACCTTTTCACTACTTCCTGGTGAATAAATTTCCATAATAAGAGTTAAAATATAAATCTGAAGGTCTGTACTGTTGGAAGCTGATGTAAAATAGTTGTACATTGTTCGTACTTGTTCAGGAGAACCGTCAATGAGAATCAGTCGGCCCTTAAATTTCATTGCTTCTAATCTTCTTGTTAATTCAATTGCGATAATAGATCCGAAAGAGTATGCCACCATTATGAAATCTTTTCCATCATTTAGTTTTGGTAATATGTGCTATAAAAATATTCAAAATGTTCGAATTTATTTTCCTTAAATATAAATCAACCTTATCCAACAAACATAATATAAATTGCTAATATATAATTGCATACATTTATGAGATGATCAGTCATCTGTGATATTATATTTGCACTAATATCAATGTTATTTGCGTTATATTGTAAAAACGTCATTGAAAATATAATACTTGGTGCTAAATGTTTAAACACAGTTCCACATCCATCGATACCTGGTATAAGAAACACTTCGCTAGTAGCTTTCTGTTTTTTAGTAGACAGATCCGAATAGATTAGAGGAATGAAATCTTCATCTTTTACAATACCAAGTAAAAATTTTATATCGTTTGACTTTTCTGTGTAGTGTTTCTTTTCATTATGCACATCATCACTGACATTTGCATTAGACATTTTAGCAAGTTTCGCAAAAGTGAGATTTCGTATCTCTTGTACTGATAAGAATATATCAAATTCTCGTTCTAGAGTTTGCTGAATATCTACAGCCATCATGGAATCCATTCCGAGATCGGCCAGTGATAAAGTTTGACTTAAAACTTTCGTATCACCTATGTCTGTAATATGAAATAAATGATTATAATTTATACTACATGTGTATTATTCATAAAATAATTAATTAAACATAATAAGTATATGTATGCGATCAATAAGTTTGTACAAAAGCATCTACCTAAAATATTTGCGACAGTTTCTATCACATTGTCACGTCCGGAAAATCCTTTCTTTTCAGCTACAACAATGCTACTTACAACTGGTTCGCTTTGAAGTAAAAACTTATCAAGTTCGTCAAGACAGGAGGATATCTTTTGCTGTAAGGTGCCACAGATAATTAATTCCTTATTGTTTTCTTGCATATCAGCGACGAGACCTACGTCGCCTACAACTCCCCACTGAATTGCTAATCCAGGTAATCCTTCCTTCACCCTCTTTTCGCAAATTCTCTCCATAATGGAGTTAGCCATGCCATAATTAGTCTGTCCAGCGTTTCCTCTACCACAGGAAACAGAAGAAAACATCACAAAATGCCGTAGATTAAGGCAGATCTTTCTAGAAAGTTTGTCCAGTATTTGCGTTGCTCGAGCCTTCGATTGGAAGGACTCTGTAAATGTTTCTACTGTTTGTTCTTTGAAGACCCCATCCTTTAGCACCACACCAAGATTGAATATAGCATCCACCGGAGCTTCTTTTTCCGCAGTTCGTAAGAGATATTCGCAATCTTTAAGATCAGAAACATCGATATTCTTGATGATCAGAACGTTTACCCCATATGACTTCCATAATCGAACTTTCATGCGTTGGTAACCGTTCTTTATTCCATTTCGAGAAATTAGAACAACATTTCTGGCACCACGAAGTATAAGCCAATCGGTTAACTCTAACCCAAATCCACCCAGACCTCCTAGTATAATGTAACTTTTATCTCTGAGACAATAATAGCGACGGTATGCGAGAATATGCTTGTCTACAGGTTCACTCTTTTTATGAATATTTATAATTATCTATAAAAAAAATTACGCCTTAAGAATGCATATTATATGATATAATTGTTTATATAAGCCATTTAGATAAAATTGAATAATACTGTCTGTTACTATTAAAAAATACGGGCATACCTTTCCTATATGTTTTCCACTCGCCATATACCTAAAAGCTTCTTCAATATCTGGTTTTGGAAACACTTTTACTTGAATTGGTTTAATTGCTCCATCCTTCAAACCATTGGCTATCATTTTACATAATAGCGACTTATCCTTGTGATCAGTAAACATATTCTCAAATATGATTCCATGAAAGCTGATACCTTTCTGAAATGCAGACATACCTAGGGGATTATTAGAAGCAAGATCAAATTTGCCAATCTCTAAGAATCGACCATTCTGAGCTAAACACCGAACGGAGGCTATTAATTTTTCTTCCGCCAATGAATTTAAGACAATGTCGACTCCGCGACCTTCCGTTTGCTGCATTATCATTTGTTCAAAACTAGTGTCTCGAGAATTGCCAATGTGGTCATCCAAAATATTCGGAAACGTTTTCCTAATAAAATCCCGTTTATCACTCGTGCCTACGGTAATAAACACTTCGCATCCTTCTTGGAGAGCGAGATGAATAGCTGCTTGTCCAACGCCTCCAGTACCAGAATGTATAAGTATTTTGTCTCCTCTTTTTATTTTTCCATAAATGTATAGGGCTAAGTAAACTGTGCTGTAAACCACAGGGACTGTCGCCGCTTCTTCGAACGTCCACGAATTAGGTATTTTCCAACACAGATGTTTATTTTTTACAACGACGTTTCCTATAGAACTAGAAAGATTATTCTGTATTTACTATAGGCTCTATATAGTATTACACAACATTATATAATTTTTTCTTGTAGCGTTATTTACTTAGTATTAGAAATTCCCATTACACGTTGTCCATTAGCATCGAAACCCACGTATTCTATTCCAAGAGGAAACTGATATGACCGTTCTTGCGAAATCGGTTCATAAGATGTTAATTTACCAGTGGCGAGCATCACATCTTTGAAATTCAAGGATGAATAGACAACATGCACCAAATCTTCACGACGAAACTCAATTAGTCGATTATTCTCTATCCAACATAATGTACTTAAGTCTCCACGAATCTATAAAAAAAGAATAATTTTTTATAATATTATAGACATGTAAAACGGAATTTTAAATTAAAAAATTGGTTTATTATTTGAAAGATGAAATACATAACATTTATCGTACATAGTGATATATTTTGAAAAAATTTATACCATTTGGCAGACATGAGCGGTTGGTACAAGTTTCGCTTCTGGTCGTTGTAATTTTAAATGTTTGTACGATCCCCAGGTTTTGTTAGATTGTAATACATTAATGGACAGATCTTTTTCTAATTGTTGTATGTACAAAGGATCTTGAAGAGAGAACTTAGGGGCTTTTTCATCTTGAACGAAAACACCTCTAACAAGTTCACTATCTGGTTCTTTTCTTAAGCAGTTTACAAAACCCAACAAACCGCATTCCAAATCTCCCTCTCCGACAATTATAATTCTACTATTTTTATCGAACTTATTTTTATCGCTCATAAGTAGCTTTAAATTTTCCAGCCAATCAAAGTTATTGTTATTTATATAGACCACAATTCTTTTTTCTATCAAAACTTTCTTCTTCAGAAGCACAATTATTTCATTATCAGTTCGCTTTTCGAGAATAACGTTTAATTTGTATTGCTGCAAATGTTTTGTATAGTCAGTTGTGTAACATTTTTCACGCGTTAACAGAAAACCACCCTCTTCTAAAAAGGGCAATACTTGCTCTAGCGATGTTTGTTGTGTGGTCAAAAGATTAAAACCAGTAATTATTAAAATTTTATCATTTGCAGATAGTTTTTTGTAATCTCCGATTAAAATGTTTTGCGGTAAGTCTGCTGGTCGAAAATTATTCGGCGATGTTAACAGAGTGATATTTGTTTGTATCAATGGTATATCACCAAATGCCTCAAGCATCAAAGAAGATGAGAAATTTTTTAAGTCTACATCATCAACATCTTCCACTAGTTCTACGATTTTAACATTGATAATTTGATGATCTTCTAAAATGAGCTGGGCTGATATTCGAATCGTTTCATTTAAAGAAATCTTAGCACGATCATAATAAGCTACAAATGTATATTTCTCGATAACTGCGTCTTGGGTTAATTTTCGGCGAGAAATCTGCGTAATTTTAAGACCTTGAATTTCTATTCCTCCAGCTTTAATCGTATTTGTCTCTTTGTATATTCGTACCGGTATTTCTGTAATAAGATATCATACTTTATGTCACACCCGAATTTTTCACATGATATTTATGCATTGAATACATAAGAAAACCGAAAAAGCAATGCCGCAGCGGTGTAAGATGGATCACGGTTGCTTCTAAATAATTGCGTGTGAATTTATATACTACGTATGTAATTTTTCAATTACGCGTCGAATTTTTTTCAGACTTGAAACACGCAACGCTAATGAACTACCGCAGTAATATTACGAGATAAATTGATTAACAATTTAACGATTATTGATGCTTTTTACGCATCTTATATCGATCTTAATAATGTTGAATAACCTATTAAAAACTGTAAATAATTAATTTTTCATTGCGAAAAATATTACTTCGGCCGGGACTCGAACCCGAATCTTTGCCATTCTCACAATTTCGGAGCGCAATCGAAGAATTACATATGTATATATATATTATATAAATTCACACGCAATTATTTAGAAGCACCCGTGATCCATTGTGACATTATCTCATTCGGTTTGAAATTTAACGGTCTAATAAGAATTGATATTGAATATACATATAAGAAATAAAATAATTCAATACAAGGTCACTTTTTATCAACAACAATATACGTAATAAAAAGGGCATATACATATAAGAGTCAATTCTTTTTGATAATAAAACGTTATAATATATTTGTAATAAGGCTCAATAAATTTAAAATAATGAAACGGAAAAGAGCTACGAGCCAAAAGCGTTGTTATAATATATATACAACTGTTAGTAAATAAAAATTGTCATTTAGCTAAAATTATGTAGTTTAATTAGAAACAAAGAAATATACGACAAAAAATAACAAACGTTTCGATTTCTATTAGGTTATTATCAATATTGCAGAATGATCGCAAGTTGTTAACAAAGGATGATGTACGAAATTATAAAATTATGAAAAAATAAAGAATATATATATACATATATAATAATATATGTACACTCTCACTCGCATAATTGACGTTGTATTTATTTTTCGGTACATTAGATCAATGTAAATCGTCTGGTTATACATGTAGTGTGTAAAAGTATCTTATAATTGTTTCTGTTAAAAATACATTGGTAAAGTAAAAAAATGTGAAAAGAGAGTCAAATAATAAAATAATAAATATAACATAAAGAGAATCAAATAGTAAAGTAATAAAAATGAATTATTAAGTTAATATAACGTAAAAATAAAAATAAAGATAAAGAAGACTTTAGTGGTAAATTAAAGTTGAGTGAAGATATATTATATATTATATTAATTTTTAATAATTTAATATCAATTAAATTAAACAATGATAAGATTACCTTAGAAAATTGTATCAATGTACGATTTATAAAATTGTCCGTTGTTAGAACGATGAGAGCCAAATTTAAGTTCTTACACAGATTCTATATATCTAATTATATTTCCCTCAGTCTTAAATGTGAATCGTTATTATAAAACGTTTTATCAAAAAGAATTGATTCTTACATGTCCCTTTTTACTGTGTATATTGTTGTTGAACAAATAACTCTCAATAATTGAAGAATAATTACGTTTATCTATTACTGTATCTTCTATGCCATTTGTGTAGTCCTGTAGCTTTCGAGCGTGAAGCATGGGATTGATGATTAATTTTTGGATACTCGTAGGAACGTACAAATCTCTAGTATCATATCCTATAATTTGCATCTGTAACATAATATCCATAAATGTTACCCAATTATTTCTCCAAATGATGTGTCCTTGATTTCCTGAAATAGAGGCGCTGTTTAATCCACGGAACCAGCCACTGTACTCGTAACCGCGCAATTTAAATTCTTTGTAGATATCTTGTGCAGTCATATGTTCTTCTTCATTATTCTGCGGAAATAGATCTGTCGAAATCATTTCTTGTTCTGGATTCGATGTCTCGTACACTGTACCTGTCACGACAACGCTATCTCCTTCAGTTATTTCAAACTTCCCGTCTGTAATATTTTTATATATTTGTATTTATATGCATTCCCAATGCTTATAATACTTTTAATTTCGTCAATACCTTTCTGTATCGCTATTTTCAATTTTACAATATTATTTTTTGATAAATGAGTAGCACGAATGAAGTTTACATCTCGAAAGGTTATTGGTATTGTTGTATGCATTTGTCCTTTTATCATGCCAATAGTTTGCCAAACAAGAGCAAGATAACCCGTCGCAGGTAGCAAGTTTCTTCCATCGATTACATGACCGCTCATATATTCATAATCTTGATCGTCGAGCGAAATTTCAACATATCTTTCTCTGGATTTTATTGACTTTTGTGTTGTAGAGCACGGTATAAGCCAATCTTGGGAATGGTCCCATCTAATTAGACATATTAAAATATGATGGATTATTTATAAAATAATATAACATAAGTATTATATATTAAATAAATATGGACTAGTCATTTCATGTCAATTCAATTATTCCTTTTGTCTAAAATTGTATTTAAATAAGTGCGTAACTTGTAAAAATTTATATAAAAGCTTCTATTTTCATGTCATTTGAAGATTTTGAAAAATATTATGTAAACTATCAATCTAAAAAGTCAGTAAAGAGAGACATTAAGCCTCTAAGTGCTTTTTGGATTATACAGTTATCATTTTTTACGAAGTTATTCTTTCCTGATAATTGTCTCTTTTTAGAAGGCAGAATAGATAGTACTTTAATTTTTTAGTATAATTTATATGCATATTTATTTGCTTATATATGTAGATCAAGGTATAATTAGATTATTTACGGTAATTTCTTATACCTGATCGATGGAGAAATCATAGAAGTTCCTCTGCTCACTGGATATTCCACTGGTGGATACAAATTTACAACTTGCGGCTGTAATCCACTGTTGTAGAGTCTTCCAATTCCTTGAAAAGTTACATTGTTGTTTTGTTCAGTGCGTTGAGTCAATACAATGTTCGTCACTTCTGGATGCAGAGATTCTTTCAATATATGCTGTAGAACGCCGCATGGTGCGAGTTCGATAGTAATAGCGTTACTCGGAATTAGATGTAAAGTTTGTTCAAAGAGAACGGTATTTAATATACTACGCAAATGATAGTCCGCCGATGATAATTTTGATGCTGAATTGACCCATTCGGTGCGAGGTATGGAAGTGCTGATCCACTTTTGGCTTCGTTTCTTCGGCCAGGATATTATTTTCTTTAAATTAAGCAAAAGTTGAGTTTCCATGGATGCGAGATATGAACTGTGATACGGTACATTGCAGTAGATCTCCTTCACATAAATGTTGTTCGCCTAATAATATAAAAATACAATTACATGTAGCTAATTGTATCTTGAGCTTAACAATTCGATATTTTAATAACTATTAAGTAATTTTTTCATTCAGTTATAAAATATAAGTTCTATTTTCAAATCTACCTGTAATTTTTTAATAAATTCTTTTATTGATTCTGTGGGTCCACTCACGACGTTGTTATTCCCGTTATTACGACATACTATTTGAATATCCGCTGGACATATATTTTTCAGAGAATCGTAATCAATTCTGACAACCACCATTGAGCTATGAATTATTTTTCCTTTGGCACATGCCAAACCGACAAAGTATGCAGATAAAATCGTTTGTTCAATGGTAAGACATTTATCTGCATATGCACAACCAAGTTCACCTCCAGAATGACTAATCATGTAATCCGGAATAATTCCTAAGGAAGTCAGAAGATCTACTAAGCCGACCTACAAGTATATACCGTTTACAGCTGAGCATTGTACATATATGTGCATTGCTGATGGAAAAATAAGTTGTGATATGAGATAAATAATAAGATAATGGATTTAATAGAGTGAAATAATGGTATGTACATATTGTATTTCAATATTTATATTTATTTTTACTAACAATATAATTGATACTAATGCATATTAGAAATATAATACTTCACCTGTATAGCGATAATTCCAAGAAACGCATTTAATGCGTTTTCGTACACTTTTTCTTCTGTATTTGTTAGAATGTCCTTAATGTTTATACCATACGGTTTTAAAATATTGTCGCATTTGCTTATTGTTTTTGCAAAAACGTGAAATTTTAATAAGTTTCGACCTGATAAAGTTTCATTAAAAGAATTACATTATTTTACTATTTAAATCTTCGTAAAGATTTAAATTATAAAATTTTAAATATATACCCATTCCTGGCCATTGCGAACCTAAAGCTGAAAATATAAAGCAGACGGGTCTTTTTAAACTATAACAGTTTTGAATTTCTATTATTGAATCTTGTTGGAAAGAATTCAGTATAATATACCCTCTCCATGGGTGACCGTCTACATTGTCTGCATAGACGTCATGTAATAAACGGATATATTCTACATCTATCGGACGATTAGCAATCTATAACGATCAATTTTTTGAAATAGAAACTATGATAATATAATTGTGCAAAATAATATCGCAGTAGCTTTCCAAATATCTACTAACATCATTTAAAAACAATTTCACTGATTCCTCAGTACGTCCAGATAATATTACAAGTCTAGGCAAATCATTATTTGGTGTTCCATTATTAACTTTCTGTTTACGATTCCACTTTAATAGCATATGAGCGTTGGCTCCTCCAAAACCGTAACAATTAACTCCTACGTAACCATTTTTGAGTGGCATTTTTTCTTGGATTACACGAATGCTTCCATTTAATAAGGCATCTATATCTTTTCTTGGTGATGTAAAATTGATATTTGGTGGAACAAAACCGGTTTCGAATGCTATTATTACCTATAATCGTCATTAATTAAAAACAATTTGGAGATGTAATATATTATAAATTAATTTGTCAAACATTGACTAACTATGTATTAAATATGTCATCTTATGTTAATTTTAGCCAATACCGAAGGTAATGAAAGATTTTTGCAATCTTTTAACAAACTTTTGTATAAGAATGTCTTAGAATTTAAATTATCAGATAATGTTTGAGAATAGTATTTCTTCTGTTTTTGTGCATATGGGCATATCGTGTGGCTGTGCAAAAAATAAAAACAGTTTTTGTAATGGTTTAAAGGAAATTACTTATTTTACCTTAATGACCTGAGTTAAACCACTCGCAGCTTCAGCATGACCGACATTGGATTTTACTGAGCCGATCATTAATGGAGTTTTTCTATTTTTACACATAACATTATAGATAGCAGCGAGTTCCTGAGGATCACCAACTTTTGTTGAGGTACCGTGTGCTTCAATGTAATCCAAACAAGACGTCGGTATTTTGCACTCTTCGTAAAATTCTTTTAATAAGGTATATTGCATTTGTGATGAAGGATATGTTATTCCTTCTTCTTTGTAACCGTCACTGTTTAATTTTATATGCGGACATATAGCATAAATCCTTTTCGCATTTTTTGCTTTTTGAAGATACACCACTGCTATTGTTTCGCTACGCGTATAACCGTTCGCAGCAATATCGAATGGTCTGCAGTAACCAGTGGGTGACAAAATACCTAAAAAATACAAAATATACATAGCATTCATATAATGAATTTAATATATAATGTATTTTTAATATAACATGGATTTAATATGGAGTTATTTTAATGTATAATCGATCAACTAAAAAATTTAATGTTTATCAGTTTTATTAATTTGATAAAGTAAAATGTAGTCAATTTTAGCAAATATTTTATTTCAAATGTTTCTGTTGATGTTACATAGTCCGTTGAAATTTATTTACTCTTTTTATAAGTAAAAGAAAAGTATAGTACTCTAAATTTCACTTTATATTTTATTAGATTATTTTTTTTAATAAAAATGCTAATTTATGATGAAAGTACCCAATCGAGCAAATTGCATGTTTATAACGGGGTGAGTACATAAATTTGCCGTTCCAATTATTGCGTCTTCACATTTGCCTGACATGATACATTCATAACCAATAGCCATGGCATAAAGACTAGAACTGCATGCTGTATCGACAGTATAAGATGGTCCTTTCAGATCCAAGCAATACGAGATTACATTTGCCGTTGTAGATTTAGTACATCCAATAAGATTCGTACCATTTAACTAATTGCAGAACATTAGCGATTACGATTTCGGCATAAATACATATAATAAATGCAATTGTCATTTGTTATTATGCTATAGTAATATACGTAATACAATTGCTATCAATATATCAATAATTTTTTTTACCTTAAAATCTTGGTACAAAAGTTTTTCTTGTACTTCGATAAAAGATGTTCCTACAATAACAGCGGTATTTTTTCCACGTAATTGCTTTGGATTGATTCCCGCATCAATAATTGCTTCATAAGTATGCTCCAGTAATAATCTCCCTTCGGACGTAAGTGTATGTGCTTGTTCGAAAGATAATCCAAAGAAATCCGCATCAAATTTTTCTAAGTTGTTTATTATTCCAATACGTTTGGGTAATTCCGAATTGTCTAATAAAACATAGACATATTTGTACAAATAATATGTAGTAATATGTTTTTGTTTATCTCTCTTTTTATATGTAATTTGAATTTTGGAATATACATTCTTTGATTGAAATTTTTAGAAAATAAAGACAGCATGTTTAATAATCCTTTGCTAGCAGTCTTCTATAACTACAGGATTTGGTCGTGGTACTCATTCAGATTTCTAAAATACAAAGAACTTAGAAGTATAGCTACATAAACTTACTCAACTGTTTCGAATTATCACTCTGAATAAATTTTTCATTAAGCAAAGTAGGCCATAGTTAAATGATGCAAAGTGAGTACTGAATGCCGGCCGTGGTATAAGTTCAAGGACTGTAATGTCGTTTAAACAAATGCAATGGATTGAATATAATGATTTTTAATTGGAATATTTATCATTTGTTTTTGAATAAATTTATATACAGAGTGACCTACATAAAGTGTTACAAGCTAATAACTCTAAAAATATTTATCCTATCAAAAAGTTGTTCATGAGAAAGTTTTATATATTCGAAAGGCCTTTTTAACTACGTAAACAAAAATCCACTCCCGTCCCCCTTTGAAGAAGGGGTGGAGGATAACTTCGAAGTTTTAAATGGGATCTCCTGTAAAATGTTACATATTTGGATTTTACGGGGAAAAACAAGTAAATAAACTTTATCTGAAATATTTCTTTAGAAAATGCTCCTATTAAAAGTTATGAACATTAAAATTTTTAGTTATTTTATTTACGATTGAATTCCATTGACACAAAGTTGTGTTCACGATACAATGAAAACGAAAACAACCTTGATATTAATCAAAAGAAACATAAATACACATATTTATCGGGAAACGTAAATGCAGATCTATTATGTATTTAGTTTTGAGCTGGTTTTCATGCTACGTGTACTTTTTTAAAAGGGATATTTTGTGATATACAGATGGATAGATCGGGGAGATCCTGTTCAATGACTCTCTCGGTCACCTGATATTACGTCTTTGGATTATTTTTTATGAGGTATATCAAAAAGAAAGTCACGTCTCAACCATTTACGACGAAAGAAGACTTAAATCGAAGAATACGCACTACTTGCACTAAGATGACTCCAGAAATATTGTTTAGAGTTAGGCAAAGCTTTGTAAAAAGAACAAATAAGTGTTTAGATGCTAATGATCAATAGTTCGAACATTTAATAAAATAAAAAAAATAGAAAAACTATGAGTCTTATTTAATTTATCATTAATTTCAATGCACTTTACATTAAAGTTTAAATATTCATAACTTTTGATAGAATTATTTTCCAAAGAGAAATGTTTCAGACAAAGTTTACTTGTTTTTCCCCATAGAATCCAAATATGTAACATTTTACAGGGGGTCCTTGAAACTTTGAAGTTACCCCCCCCCCCTTCTTCAAGGAGAGACGAGGATGGACGAGGATGGATTCTTGTGTACGTATTCAGAAAGGCCCCTCGAATATATGAAACTTTCTCATGAACAACTTTTTGATAGGATAAATATTTTTAGAGTTATTAGCTTGTAATATTTTATGTGAGCAACCCTGTATAAAACGAATAATTCAAAATATTTTGACAACATAGTAAATATGAAATTACAAGTGACATGCAAAGGAATGACATTCTATCAGTGTTTGGAAATAACGCGTTAAATTTTTTATTGATATCTTTATCTGTATAATTACTTTGCAGTAACATTTATTTACTTATAACGTTAATGGAAACGCAATTACATTTTTCTAGTGACGATGATGAATATATTATTGTTATTTTTATCGTTTTATCATATATATGATAAAAACGTGTAAACAAGTTTTTTGATTATGTTCTTATTAACCACAATTGCATTATAGATCTTAAACTGGTTAATTAGCAACATAAACAACTGAGTGTCAGTGAAAACAGTCATCAAAAATTTGGTGAAATAGTAAAGGAATTTATAAAAACTTTTCAGTTTTTGAATAACGGTAACAAGTTACTTTTCAGAAAATGAACGGTAACGATGAACTTTTTATTTAACAGTAAAATTTTGATAAAGTAACTTTCCCTGCCATCTACAATAAAAATATACTGTATTATTGTAAATATGAATTAATCACCTCTATCCCATCGACCATGATCTGCTCTAACAAGATCAACTTTATTGAATAGGTTTTCTCGTAAATGATTTATGTTATCTGAACCAGGAAATCTTCCAGCAATACCAGATATAACGATCTCCTCGTCGGAATCAATATCATTCCACGAACTATATTTTTCTTTGTTATCCATGATTCTTATTATTTTCTCAAATAATCTAAACAAATGTTATGGTTATTTTATATATTAATTTTTTATTTACGTTATTGATTATATCTGGTTTTGATATTCACAGTATCACTACAGTATCGTACTTGAGTTGTAGATGAAAAATGACTGAGCTTTTCATGACAAAGCACTCTTTATATAAACGTCAACTATTACAATGCAGGGTTATTATGATGTTACTTTTGTTACTCATCTACACTGTCGACTAAAAGTTTAAGACTATTGATCAATTAGGGATGTGTACTGTATCCAGAAATTAAATTTATGGATTATAATATAACATATTTTTATTATTTTATTCTTCGTTTTATAATGAATTAAATAACAATATAAAAAGTAATATATAAAATGTTTTAAGTTTAACAAAAGAATATTTTTTACAAAACTATTTTACAAAAAAAGTATTAAACTCACAGTAAAAATTGATACAATAAAAAGTATTAAAGCATATGAGATACTTTTTAAAGTTACCGCAGCTATCTTTAAAATCAGTACTTTTTATTAATTTAGATAATTTAGTTTGTTTTTTTTTTTTAATAAAAGACTTTTCCATTTACTTGCTAAAATAATCTCACAGCTCAGTTTTAGTAAAAAGACCATAATTTATTTTCTTGAAATTTAACAATGATGCATGTTAATTTTCATTGTGCAAATATAATGTGTAAATATAATGCCTATTTGTTTTTTTTAATTAAAAAAACTTTTGAGTAACTATGACTCGAAGTTTTAAATAATGTTTTATTAGAGTATTTTTTTAAATTTTATATATCTCTATTCGAACTTTTAGCAGTGTATGTCATCTTTTTAAGCTTTGCTTCTATAACTTTGTAATTTAAAGCATTTCCGTTTAAAATAGAGAGAAAGAACAATAAGGAAAAGAAAAAAAGATGAAACCTGATGCGAATAGGTTTGTGAAATCGATTTATTATTTCTATCATGTAGATCACCTATAAGTGCAATTTCACATAAACTGCAGACAAGAGTAGACCATAGCTCGACTATTTACTGGACTTCACTTGAATTGTCTGCGTGACAGAAACCATTCCACGCATTTGTCCTTTTTAGCGTTTTATTCTACTCGCAGGTGAGTAGCTTTTGCTCACTAATTCGAAGTGGATTATATGTATGTATTAAAAAGTATATAACAGTGTCTATGTATAAGTTTACGTTAATATTTAAGGAAAATTTATTTCAATTTTGAAATGAAATTACATTTATGTGAATATTATATCGATAAATTTTTGTCTATATATTTTATGTGAAATATGTGAATACAACGTGGACGCTATATATTGTTCTTATCGGAAAAGAAAGAGAGAAAGAGAGAGAGAGAGAGAGAGAGAGAGAGAGAGAGAGAGAGAGAAAGGGAGAGGGGGGAAAATAAAGAAAAAATAATAATCTAAAATCGAAATATCATCTACATTTTTTAATACATTTTAAATTAAATTATATAGTTAAAATGTTATTTATTAATTGTATTTTCTGTGTTTAATACTAAATAATTTATTTTATTGTTTAATAAATAATTTTTGTAATAATCTCATGTCAATAAAATTAATAGGTACAAATAAAATCAATTCGATAAAATGAACATTTGTTTTGCATGCTATACAAATAAAATGAACATTTGTTTTACTGCTATACAAATAATGTACATATGTACAATACATAATATTTATTTCATATACAAGCTTATTACTATATTAAATTTATAATTTTTTAATTAAATGTGTATTTATTGTTTGTTTACTTTAAAAACATATATATATAAATATATATAAAACATATAATTATAAAAACAATGTTTAAAGACGAAAGAATAGTAACATGTATCATGTATATGTCAGTATAGCACGTTCCACCTTGAATTGCACTATTTAACCTTTCCTTATTTATGATGCCTTATAACATTAGTATGTTAATTTTATTGAAAAATTTAAATATTCTTCACCCGACAATAGTCACCTGATTTTTTTTACGTAAATGATCATCTGATATTTTTGTATTCGAAAATCATATTATTAACAGATATGTCTGATACAAAGCACCGATTCTGGCAATATTATAACAACATTGTAATGTTCCAATAATATTTTAATAACACTGGAAATGTTGCAGCAATGTTGCTGCAAGTTTTTATGTTGCGTACAATTTTATATTATTAATTATTTTTCAATTTATTAATATTTGAGAACATTATGGATATGAATTGAATCCGTTTTCTGGGGGAAATAAGTAGAGCAAATATTAAACGGAGTAAGTATATTAAATATACATATATAAATATATGATAATATGTGTAAAAAATAAAGTTTTTAATTAATACGACGCAGTATTTTTTATTATAGATTTTCAATGAAATTATACATTTAAAGGTACAATATATTTCATAAAAAATAAAAAAGTATATTAAATAATATCTAGACAAAACAATATTTTACAATGATTTAAAATGAACATTTTTTACTGCAGAGGTCAAAAAATTTTTTTTCTCAATTGTGTCACTTCTATGGTCTATTATTTCTATATGGTGGCAAATGAACGTCAAACATAATATGTAATTAATAATATGAATATATAAACTGTCAGCAATACTATTACGGAAACATGGTTATTGTATTGCTGACAGTTTATGTTTCCCATTTTAAATGTTCCAATCAAATATCTTGAAAACTAAATCTAGTAGACAAAAATGTTTCAAATAAAAATGGAAAGGTGTCGAGGGGGACACGTTTTAGTCACGATGTTTTTTTTCTAAATGGAGGCGCTAAAAAGATATAAAGGTCACCTCCACTTTTTTAAATGGAATTATGTAATTTTTTTTAGATAATATGATTCCTCTAATTATTTTGCATATAAAATTATTAAGGTAGAGATACCAAAAAACCAATAGTTTTTGAGATATTTTACACTTTATTTTGGTACATATTGACAAAATGTTAAATAACTCGTAAACTGTTGACTTTTTGATTATCGTACCTTAATACTTTTGTTAACAGAATAATGGGATAAATCAAATGGTGTAAAGACAACACATAGTTGCTTTATAAAAAATATGTATACAAAATGGATAATTTTTTAAATACGCAACTATGTGTTTTCTTTATACTTAAATCTACTGGATTTAAATCTATTAGATTTAGTTTTCGAGATATTTGGCTGGAACATTTAAAATGGGACACCCTGTATATACATATTATCAATACATGAATAACATTCAATCTCATGAAAAATTTGAAAAAAAAACTGATGCATGAAGAAAAAATCAAATGCACGGTTTCTCATAATTTTTATTTTTCATAAAACATCGGCGAAGCTTTTTAGAAAAATTTATATTTGAATAGCGCTAAGCATTTTTGAAAATAAAGATTTCCATATTCATCTATAAATAATATATAAAGTTGCAATTTCCTTTAAATAAAACAAGGTCACGATAACATTAAAATTATATTAAAATAAATTAAGACTAATTCAAAAGCGATTTTTAATAATTATGTCGAAGCTGTTTTACCGCCATTTTGTCGTAATGACTGTTTGTTCTGCTTAGACAACAAGAATGATATGTACAATAAGCGCAAAAAGTATTAGTACAGGGAAGATTAAGCTTATTAGAAAACTAGATTTTTAAATTAAACATTAATAAATGAAAATTATTAACAATGAATAAAATTGTATATTTTACAAAATTATTACACCTAAAAATGTGTAATAATTCAAATTTTATCTTCAAAATAAGCAAAAATAAAAAGTTTTATTATTTAGGCACACACAAAAAGTATCCGTACAGACGAGAAGTTTCATTTCTAAAATTATGAACACGCAAATCTTTTTTGTTTATATTAGGATAGAATGTACATTGTTAATTAATATTTATTGTCTACAAATAAAGTGTTTTTATAAAACCTTTCCCATGAGAATACTATTTGCACTTACCATATACCGATGAGATAGAACAAGATAGAAGATCAGGAGACGCGGTAGTGTCTCTGGTCATGTTCAAAAACTGAAAGACACTACAAGTCTCTTATCCCGAGCCACCAAAGTCCATTTTTCGATGGTGCATAACTACTAAAATACAAAAAATTTTGAATCGAACGTTATATATCCTGAAAGGTAGCATCCCCACGAGTAATTTGAGCTAAAAAAATTTTAAATCAGTCAAGCCGTTTTGGAGATACAAGCTGTCGAAAAGTGATGATTTTAATGAAAAATTAAGAAACGTCTCCTTCTTCTTTTTCTTCTCTGTCCGCATTCACAAGGCCGTATTAAAACTTTCTAACATCCCCTCTCACCTTTCACTCACACCTTCACTATCTTCGACCCGCCGCCACCCCCATCGCCCTCCCTTAGCCCTCCCCCCACCACTCCTTTCTTCTACGAAACGAATATGTAAGCATACTTCTTAGGCCTGATTGCACCAACGTGATTTCGATTTTAAACGAAACTTAAACTATCTCTGTCTCTGTCTCCCTTTCAGCTTTAAAACGAGATAGATAAAGTTTTAAGTCTCACTTAAAATCAAAAAGTGTTGGTGCAACCGAGCCTTATAGTCTTCTTAACAATATAAAAATATTATATACATCATGCATTTTAAGAATAGTAGCAATATATTTCCAATGTGATACAATCGATTTATATTTTCAATTTTGACGTCTTTTTGAGGTTTGCAAGGTGAGTCACTATAGCGTTAATAATGAATATTTGAACATAGATAGTTTACTATTTTTTAAAATCTATAGATATAGTAGCATCAAATCTTTCAATTCGTTATGACTGCTTGCAAAATCCAAAAAGGAGAATTGTTGATTGTATTAGCTGAGGAGGACTCAAAACAGAATTGAAACGTAATAAAATAATGCATACATAAAAAATAGTAAAATTTGTATATCTAATTATATAGATGAATAATAAAGGATTTCGAGAGGGATCCATTTTTAATTGACTGTGTACCAACAACAACATGA